CCGCCACTGTCACACTTGGGGCAGGGCCGATGGAGAGGTTATGGCTCTACCCTGTCACACACAGAGCAAGGCCCGTGGAGGGGGGTTGGGGCGCCACCCTCTATCACCCACAGAGCAGGGCCGATCAGGGGGTTGGGGCGCCGCCACTGTCACACTCAGGGCAGGGCTGATGGAGAGGTTATGGCTCTACCCTGTCACACACAGAGCAAGGCCCGTGGAGGGGGGTTGGGGCGCCACCCTCTATCACCCACAGAGCAGGGCCGATCAGGGGGTTGGGGCGCCGCCACTGTCACACTCAGGGCAGGGCTGATGGAGAGGTTATGGCTCTACCCTGTCACACACAGAGCAAGGCCCGTGGAGGGGGGTTGGGGCGCCACCCTCTATCACCCACAGAGCAGGGCCGATCAGGGGGTTGGGGCGCTGCCACTGTCACACTCAGGGCAGGGCTGATGGAGAGGTTATGGCTCTACCCTGTCACACACAGAGCAAGGCCTGTGGAGGGGGGTTGGGGCGCCACCCTCTATCACCCACAGAGCAGGGCCGATCAGGGGGTTGGTGTGCTGCACCCTGTCAAACGCAGAGGCGCAGGGCAATCAGGGGATTGGGGAGCTCCCCCCTATCAGGCACAGAGGAGGGCTGATCAGGGGGTTGGGGTGCCTTCCCCTGTCACGAACAGAGTAGGGCGGATAGGGAGGTTGTGGCCCCGCCCCCTGTCACACACAGAGCCGCAGGGCGATCAGGGGATTGGGGAGCTCCCCCCTATCAGGCACAGGGCAGGGCCCGTGGGGGGGGGTGGTTGGGGCGCCGCAGCCTGTCACACACAGAGCCGCAGGGCGATCAGGGGGTTTGGGCGCTGCCCCCTGTCATGCTGATCCCGGTGCCGGGAGCCTCGCTGCTCCGCTGATCCCGGTGCTGGGAGGCATATTACCCTTTTACTATATAGGATAGAGGCCTGGTGCATGGGTAGGGGCTGGCTGGTTTGCCCTGAAGGGTGTCCTGGATCAGGGTGGGGGTCCCCACTGGGGTGCCTGGCCAGTCTGGGTGAGGGGCTGAGGGCTGTTTTCCGGCTGGCGAGTGACTAAAGCTTCCAACCGCTCCTTGTTTTCTTCTCTTTTTTTTTTTTTTTTTCTGGGCCAGCTTTAGCTCTGAGGCCTCGCTGCTGAAAACATAGATACAATGTTGCGGTCCGAGCCCGGCTGAATGGAAGCCCTTTTCTGGGGTTTTGTTTAGCTTCTTATTTGCAACATAGTATATAGTTGCTTAGAGTTGCAACTGAGAGGCCGGCAAGTGAGGCGGTGAACGTTGGAGTCTGCAGCAAGCAAGCCTCCCTGCTCGCTTCAGTGCCTGGCTGCTGGCTGCCATCTTGGCTGACAGTTAATTTGCATATACTCACTGATTAGCCAATGAAAAGGGTAGCGGTCGTACGCCAATTACCATGTTTCTCTTTTATTAGTGTAGATGGTTTTCCACAACCTCTCTTCTTATTCCTGGAATGTCACTTTTGTGTGAAGACGTCCACTTGAATGCTAACTCTCCTGTTAAACTTTTCTTGACCTCCTATAAGAGTGTCATGCCTAGTTCTGTGCTTTCTGTGCATTTTATATTAACATTCGTTTATTTAATATGACTAGGTGTATCCTGCTTATTTTGTTTGTTTGTATGTTAAAGTATACATCTCTTCTAACCCATAAGCTTTCTAAGGGCTGGAGCTGTGCATTACTAATTTATGGATTTTCAGTGTCTGCACTAGGTTGAGTGTACTTGTATAAGTCCTCAGTGAGTATTTGTGGGAAAAAAGAATTTAAAAGTGAATATATTTGTTTTAAATACCTTTAGGTGAAATTAAAGGGCCACTTGAAATCTCTGTATCACAACAAGACGTACGTATTTCACAAGATACTTTAACAGCTGGAGTAGAAGAAATTAGATCTGTAGACATCGTTAATGTGCTGCTGAATTTTGAAATCAAAGAGGTATGTAATTTTCATCTGTTTTTATAAAGTAAGGTGAATAAATGATGGATATTTAGAATTACCTCTACTAAGATAAACTTGTAGTTATTGATATAAATGAGAAAATCTTATATAGGCTATTTATAATTTGTATGTAGTAGTAATGTTTTAAAATTTGAGAGTTTGTTAAAAATGAATTATATTTGAGGGATATAATATTTCATAGAGAAAATGGTAGCATGCCCTGTAATGTGCTTTTCAGATAATTTTAGGATAATTGGGAGATGGCTTGCTTTGGATTTCATGTAGGAAAGACAGGAAAGGGAAAAGATGATAGGAAAATCCTATGCAGATTTTAGAAATCCTTAATAGAATAGAACACAGTATGTCTACATTTTTAAAATATTTCATTACCACTATTTGCTTTCCATCTGCAGATTCTTGAGGGAAGATTAAATGTATTTTCCTCTTCTGTATTAACACATTTAAGAAATATTCATTGCATGTGTTTAGTGCCAAGAATACAGAGGTAAACGGCATAGACTCTGAATTCAAACAAGAAAACAATTGAAATTTTGGTAGTGCTCCCATTAAAAATATGCCTAGTGGAGCTTGAGGCAGTGATGGTAGGGAGAGGGCATCTAAGCAGTCTGGGAGCATCAGGGAATATTTCCTGAAAGGAGTGACATTTGAGCGAATTTTAAGAAAAGAGTAAGATATAGTCTGAGAAAAGGGGATCAACAAAGGGGCTAGGACAGGGCATAAGGTTGTGAATATGTGAGAAAGCATAGCGGATACAGGGACTTGCAAGAACTTCCTCCAAAATCCCTTCATCATTAAATAGTTGTATAGAGGTTGTGTTCTTTCTCTGAGTTAACAATAATAAACATTTAAACAAATGAGTTCTTCTTTTTGATCTGAAATATGTTTTGAAACTAACTTCCTTCATGTTAAACCTCTGCTATTTTTCTGGTTAATATTTAAAGACTTTTAAGCTTTGATAATTGAAACATTGATAGATGAATCACTCTGTTTGCAAATAGGTTTATTAACATATACATAGAAAATCTATAAGTCCTTTTTAATATTATTTGTAATACATATTATTATAGTTCCCCTTCCTTAGGTCAGTGATTGGGATAGGGGAAGCAGTTTGCACTGTCTCTCTTAGGCCAATACTCAGCATTGTCTGAAAACATGTTTGATTGTCACTATCTGGGGAGGTGGAGCTACTGGGAAACAGTGGGTAGAGGCCACTAAACATCCTACAGTGCACAGGACTGCTCCTCACTGTAAAGAATTATCTAGCCTAAAGTGTCAGTGGGTCAAGATGGAAAAACTTTGCCTTAGGTGTAGTATAAAAATTGACCGTTTATCTCACAGACTTTCAGATGAAAAGCCATTCATCAGACTAGGACTTTGGGAATTAGGGAGAAATACTTAAGTCTGAACAAGTAAATGTGCCTGCCAAAGTAAATAGCTCCAGGCAATTTCCAGGCACAAGTAGAAATAAACATCTTTACATGGTGTGAATTTTTGGGTTATATCACTATGGATGGTTATTAAATTGTTGACTTACTTTCCTTGTATACTAATGAAATAGTTTGTGGTAATACTGGTACTTTTTTCTAGGTTGTGGTTACTTTGATGAAAAAAGCAGAAAAGAAAGGAAGGCCTTTACATGAACTAAATGTCCTCCAGCTTGGAGTGGAAGCTAGAGTTAAAACCTATGACCTAACTGCTAAAGCTTATCTAAAAAAAATTAGTATGCGATGCTTTGAGTTTACTGGTAAGTGTGAAGTATAGTCTGTGTAAATTATCCATGGAATAGCCAGATGGTCCCTCCCTTTTTATCAGCATTAAGCATATTTATTAGTGTCACCATAACTGTTTAGTTAGTTTAAATTTATTACATCGATACAAAGGAATGTGATATTTAAAAATAAATTATCCATGTAGTTATCATAAGTAAGATTATATCTAGATAGATGTCTACATTTAGCATGAAGTAGAATATATCTAAAAGAAAAATGAAACATTTGTCATCAGTGTCTGTACATAACATTTCAGTAATTGTAAAAGGTAGGAGTTCATTATAATTATGCTGTGGGAACTGATATATTAGGAAATCAGGAACCAAGTACAATACCCAGGTATAGAGCCCAGGGATCCTTTTTGAAAAGGTAAGTTAATTTATTAGGAAATAACTTTCTATTTCTTTCTTTCTTTATTTTAAAATTATATCAGTGTTTTTAATTTATTTTTAATGAAATTAGCATAAGGGATGGGCAAAAGTAGATTTTCAGTTTTCCATATGGAAAAAGACATGCTGGTTATGATTACAATAGGTTTATTAACTAACACTATGTTTTGCATATTCACAACTGTAAACCTACTTTTGTACACTCCTTTGTATATGTAAAAATGAAAATTAAATAATACAGAAATATATAGAAGAAAAACTTAACATCACTATGTAGCCTCACTCCTTAAAGTGAGAATTTTGTTCACTATGGTTATTAGGCATAGCATTGATGGAAACATGAAACATTTGAATTATATATTGGTTTTAGGATTAGAATAAATTTAAGGACAAGAGTGACAGCATAGCTCAGTATAGACATGGTTCACAGTCCATTTAGTGTTGATAGTCTTAGAACCCATATGTAATGTGACTGAAAAATAAGAGGATATATAATTATTAGTTTCTGAGAAAATGTCAAACATGGTAATCATCTGATTTGAAATGAGATAAATGAGGAAGGAAATATTAAAATATTATGGATAACTTAGCTTCCTTAAAGCCAGGATGTTAAAAAATCATAAAGTTTGTTTTGGGTATAAATAAAATATTAAAATAAAAACAATACTGTTATTCTTTAATGATAACCTCGACCTTTCAGATTCACTTTCTAAAGTGGATCAAGCCAACTTTTAAAGTTGCTATGGGTGTTTAAAGTTTATAGGACTTCTGTGGGCTAACTTGAAGTAAAGCAAATTTATATTGAGAATAACCCCTAGTTTATGTATTTTTTAGCTTTATTCTTTAATATATTCTGATTTGTTCAGAGTAATTCCAGTACTACCAAATGTTAACAGCATTTTAATTAGCTGGTGCTGGTTTTTTGTTTTTATGGACTTTCTTTTTCAACGCAGATTTATTGATGTATGATTTATATACAGTAAAATTCACCATTTTAATGTATAGCTCTATGAGCTTTGGCAAACATATATTTGTCTGTTTGAACATATGTTTGAAATGTTGAAAAGACTTAATGGATTTACCCCCTCCTTTTCTCTTTTAGACTCTAAAGGAGAACCTCTTCATATTATTAACTCTTCTAATGTAACTGATGAACCCCTTCTGAAAATGTTATTGACAAAGGTATCTAGTTTCATTTCTAGGATTTTTAAATATGTGAACTATGTAATCCCCCCATATTTAATATTTCAATTTTCTCCCTTAAATGTTTTCATTCTAAAACTGGTTGATTATAGTATATTATGCAAACATCTGACTATCCTGGAAATCTCAGTAATCTTCGGAGTTAACCCTATGTTTTGGAATAAGTGAGAGCATATAAAGTTCCATTTTCATTCAAAGCAAAATCTGTTGTAATCTGGATATACTAATATTTTCCCCTACCTGTAGCATTTGAGTTTTTGCTTCTGCAGAATTTGAGAAATGCTTATGTGGTCAATTTTTTTTGGCATGCTCTTCTGTGCCTTTAAGAAATATGTTTATAGTATTTTCATAGCATACAGTATTTTGAAAAGTAAATAATATATATAAATGTTACTGTTTGCAACTCAGTGGTTTAATCCTCCACTATTTGTAGGCAGACAGTGATGGACCGGAATTTAAAACCATTCATGACAATACCAAACAGAGACTGAAGGTAAATCTTTTTAAATTCACTATAAGGTGGGTTATATTAATGGGTAAATCTAGTTTCATAGCCATCTTTAGTTGTGAGATTGTAAATTCTAAAATGAAAATAAGGGTGGCAATAATAATAGCTCTAGTCTTATAGATAAGAGGCATGCATAAAGAGTTTAAATAAAATGTTTAAAGAGAGTTGATTTGATTTTCTACAAGATTGTTTCCCAGATATGAATTAATCATTACTTGTTGAGTATACAAATAATACATTTTTAAGGGAATTTTGTTCCCTTAAAAATGGTTATTTGGCATAGTATTGATAGACATGTGAAACATTTGAATTATGTATTGGTTTTAGGATTAAAATAAATGTAAGGACAATGCTAATGGCATGGCTCAGTATAGACATTGTTGACAGTCCATGTAGTGTTGGTCTGTCTTGGAACCCATATGTAATGTGACTGACCTAAGTATGGCCTGATAATACTTCCTATATCTTTACTTAAAACCCATCAAGTTCTGTTGAGGTTAGAATTATGGTAAAGGTTAAATTTATAATAATGAGTTCTTTTTTTTTTTTAAAGCCCTTAATGGAATGATTTTGTGCTACTTGTGTATGTGGAAGTGGAAATGTAACATAAAAATGTTACCATATCTGACATCTGCCTCTCTAATTGTTTATTATCTTAGGTTTCATTTTCATCCTTAGACTTAGTACTTCATTTGGAAGCTTTATTATCCCTCATGCGTTTTTTATCATCTGCTGTTCCATCCTCTGAACCTTCTGAAAAGGAATCTGAACTGAAGCCACTTGTGGGGGAGTCCAGAAGTCTCATTGTCAAAACTGGTATTAGCTTTTGAGTCATGGTCTAATACTTTCTGTCTGAACTTTAATAATCATATAATAACTTGTATCTTCAAGCTAAGATAAATATTTAGCACCTTACTATTATAGTTGCTATGACAGATTAGGTTAGTTTCAAAAGAAAGCGAATTTTATCCTCTATATATGTTTGCATTGATGTCTCTGCAGTATTCATACCAATGAAAGGGAAAAAGGAAGAAATTAAAATACAAATACAATCATGCATAGTAACAAAAATCCATTTCAGTCCATCGAGTAAACCTACCTGCTGCTCAACAATTTTAGGTGCTTTTCTAAGACACAAAAGGAAGAATCTCATGGAAGAGACAGACCCACTTTGGTTTCTATGCAAACTGTATTTAAATCACATACTAATATGGGTACATGTTCCTCAAACATATGATTTATGCTATTAAATATTAAATATTTATATCCTGAGTGAACAAGTGCCTATTTTTAAGCAAATATCATTTTAATTAATTTTCTTCCGTATCATGTGATATAGATATCTAACATCTAGCAATGTACTTTCAGACCATTACCAATTTGAGTTATATTAATCTTACTGGCATCTTTCAAGTGTAAAGGATCAGATTTTTTTAAATTAGGGAACAGAGCAATAATTTTGCTATAAACTAGACTAAAAGAGTTTTACTTTTGTTGTAATATACTTGCTACGTTAACATTTGTGGAAATACTTATATAAGATAGACACATACACTGTTGAATAAATGAAAAAGCAATGATTAAGTTCACAATAAACTATAAAAAATCTAATTAAAAAATAGTCTTCCTGTTATGCTGTATATTTGATTTTTAAGGTTTGATTATGCTACTTTAAATCTTAAGGGGAAAAAACCATTATCATCTTGGTGGTTAAGGACTGCTGTCCCCATGCTTTTACCTATTATAGGAAAAGGTCTCTTTCCCTCAAGCAAGACGGAGCTCTAGGAAAATATATCCTGAATTCCTCAATCAGGACCTAGACTCAAGTTGGTTAAGGGAATCCGTTTGATTGTGATTCTTATACACATACAAACACACACATTATAAAACTGTTTTTGGTATTTTTTTAAACTTCAGCCCTTTGTGTTCATTTTTCATAGAATTCATTTTAGGATTTTTCATGGAGAAACAGGGTACAATCTAGAGAAATCGATTCTATAGTTAATAACATGTATGTGTCAGAGTTAATCAAATGTATTTTATCAACTATTTATTACTCTTTTAGTTTTTTATGAAATATTCTTCTTTCATCTAATATATGATATTAAAAGGAATTCAAAAATCAATTAGCTTCAGTAGCATTCTAGAATTTTAACATTTTTTTTCCCCCAGAAAAAAATTATAGTAAAGTTTCCATTTATCAAATAGTACTTTTAAGGCACTATTAAAGGCTATCTTTATTCTTAATTTGGAGGGGAATATGCTAGCTTTTGTCTCATGGACATTTGAAAATTGATTCAAAATCCATATTAATTTTATATAATCTTAATAAAGGCCTTTTTAGTTCTTCATAGTTCATAATGTACTTTTATTTTAGTGAATTTGAGAATGTTTTGCATCTTATTATATCAACTTTGCACTTTGCCGATGATAAGGTTTCTATTGCTTTTCAGTGTCCAGTAATACTTCTCAAGATGATGTGTTTGACTTAAAGATCATGGCTGAATTAAATTCATTTAATGTCTTGGTCTGTGATCAGAAGTGTAGCATTGCAGATATTAGAATACATGGTAAGTAATGATTCCTTGGTGTATGTATTTCTGTTTTCTTACATAGACCTCCAAAAAGAATGAGTGTGTGCATGGTACATTTCTCATGAGTCATCTTTTGGTTTACTTGCATTGAAGACTCATGCAAACTTTTCAGAGTTGTACTTTGAAATGTTAGAAGTAAATTTGTTATGATTCATGGCTGACACAACACATTCCCATGTATGTATTTTAAAACTTTTAGGATAAGTCTAAGGCTTAACCTCCTATGTTTGTATTTTCAGAATAATATAACTTTAAACTGTGAATATGTGTTATGATAATATCTCACTGGGCAAACAAAATGTCATTATCCTTATTGTTGTATTTTGTGCTTACATAGCATCAAGAGTAGACGTTTTTCAAAGAAATTTTGTAACCTTTACCCACCATCTGCTTAATATAAGGATGAGTTTAGATTATTCCATGGGTTCTGGAGCCAACTTGCCAAGGTTCAGTTTTGGCTCTAACACTTACTGGCTGAACTTGAGCAAATTAATCTTTCTATGCCCAAGTTCCAATTTCTATAAAATGGAGATAATTATCCATGGCGTTGTGAGGATTAAGTTTTAAACACTTACATATATTTAGAGAAGTGCCTGGTACACCATAAGCAGTTAAAAGAGGTTAAAAATCTGTTTCGTGCCCTAGCTGGTTTGGTTCAGTGGATAGAGCATCGATCTGTGGACTCAGGGGTCCCAGGTTCGATTCTGGTGAAGGGCATGTACCTTGGTTGCGGGCACATCCCCAGTGGGGAGTGTGCAGGAGGCAGCTGATCAGTGTTTCTCTCTCATTGATGTTTCTAACTCTCTGTCCCACTCCCTTCCTCTCTGTGAAAAATCAATAAAATACATTTAAAAAAAATCTGTTTCGTTAAACAAATATTTTATTATCTGTCTTATGGTTGGTATGGTTTATGGTTTGGTTGATTACTCGGTCTTAGCTTTAGGCATTCTTTCTGTAGGAGCTGTTTCAGAAATCATTATGCCTTTAGAAATTATGAGAATGACAAAAATTCTTTTGGAGAGAAATCTTACAAGATTGCATTTTAGATACAGTTTATTATAGAAAGAATAGGACTTATTCATCAAATTGTACTTATTTATGCTTAGTTATCAGAGTAATAGTTTTCATAATGTAATGTTTATGAAATGGCTATGTAACAAACATTTTGTGTCTTTCTAAATGACCACTTCTGATCTTGCCAATGCACAGATATTTTGTGTTTGGAAATCTGTAATTAATTTTCCTTGAAAAAAAAATTTTTTTTAAATTTCCACTTTTATTTATGACTTACCTGTAGCACTTAAAGATATAATCTTCCTTGGTATCTCGTACATAGAAGTTGATACTTTTAGTATGTCTAACAGTAAGTAATTTTTATTCATTCTGTATCTTTGTAATATATTATTGAACTTAAGTACCACTAAGTTGGTTACTTGGATTAGGTGAAAAGTTTGTAAATGTAATGTTTCCCATAGGAATGGATGCCTCCATTTCTGCGAAGCCAAAGCAAACTGACATGTTTGCCAGACTTCAGGATATCATTGTTACCAATGTAGATTTGATGTCCATTCACAAAAAGGTAATTTTTTAAAAAAAGCTTCTATATTGAAATTTATTTTTACCTTTAGTTTTGAGATGACTTTATCCATTTGTTCTGTATATACTTAGCGTCTGTCATGTGTTAGGTACTTGTTAGGGATTGGACGTGAATATAGTCATAGCCTGCTTTCACAGTGTGTATGGGCTGAGTGATTCGTAAAAGTTTTTTCTGACCAATTAAGTGCTTGATCTCTACATTGATAAAATAATTTTTATAAATATAGGAAAAATTATTGTCAAATAAATGTTTAATAATTTGTTGAAAGTTTATTTTGATGGTGCTTCTTCACACATCAAAGATTCTATAATAATGTAACTTATTTATAATACAGATATTTTGATGTAGTAACCAGTTAATTTAATACTTTTAGGCTGTCTCTATTTTGGGAGATGAAGTCTTTAGGTTCCAAATGACTCTTTATCCAGATGCCACAGAAGGAAAGGCCTATGCCGATATGTCTAAAGTAGATGGCAAACTTAGTCTCAAAGTGGGCTGTATTCAAATTGTTTATGTTCATAAATTCTTCATGTCTCTTCTGGTAAGTTTATTTTTAAATATATTTATCTCTCACTGAGGCCCAAATATCTTTGCCTATGTATCTGAACCTAGGTAGTTAAAATTTTTACTAAACGGGTTGTGGGTAAACACCCAAATGCTGAACAGAACATTATAGTTAAGGAAATCATCTACATGATGGATAACCAAATGAATTTTTGTCATCATTGGTTTGAACATGTAAACTATTATGCTTTAACATTTTCATAGCTATATATTTTAAAAGTACTTAAAAAGCATGTAGGGCTTTTCAGTGTTATTTGTTTTATGAAATACCCTTAAAGGTATTGAGGTAAAAAGAATTTTTTAAGGAAATCAGTAGGCATTTGAAGGAGTAATATTGGAACTGAACAGCTTTTGATTATAATTGCGATCAATAAGGCCATAAAATTCTTTTTTAAAAGTTACTTATTTCCATGTAAGTATTGTGGGCTAAATTTGCCTATGCCTCTTAGCAGGAATAAAATTCAAAGCTTACAAGTCATAGATTTCTACTTAAACCATCATATTTTTTTTGTTATTATTTTTTCTTACGGGGAGAAAAAGGGAGAAGGGGAGAAGGAGAGAGCCGTGTTTTATTTTTCAGGGAAGTAATTTATTTGACATGAGGGGAGTTTAGGTTGCTTTGTATTATTAATGAATGAGCGTCAGGAATATTATTTCTAAGAATGATCTTTATTGGGAAAAATCTTTGTTTATAATTAAAATTGAGGTAAAATCCATCTTACTCTAAATAAAGAAGTTTTGATTCTTATTAGTGATAGCAAGGTTGTAGACATTTAAGCATCTTCCGCCTGAGTATACTTTTAAAAAACCTTAAGAAATAAGCTGGAAAAACCATAGTTTCTAAGAATAACTTTATTCCTGTGACTTAGAGAAATAGATTTGAACTTAATTTGGGAAAAGTAAAGTGCTCTCCTCCACTTCTTTATTTAAATTTGAATTTAAAATAACTAACATTCATGGGTAAAAAGGAAATTAAAAAAAATTGTTATTTGAAACCTGTCTGACTTTGTAAACCAATGTCATCCCAATAAATTCAATAAAAAATTGTTACCAAAATTTGTCATAAGAACCAAATAATTCTGAAATATATAAAATGAAAGTTAAAGGACTCTTCTTTCCTAGAAGTAATTATTATTAATATTTAGGAGTGTATCTTTCTAGATTTTACTCTCTCCATAAGCACAATAATAAATAACATTTCTTATATTACCTTTTACTTAATTTTTAAAGTAAATAATTTCTAAAGATTTTCCTTTTTAAATAAATGTTGTTTTGGGGGAACTCTAAATACAGTCTCTTCCAACAGAACTTTCTCAACAATTTCCAAACTGCCAAAGAAGCCTTGAGCGCAGCCACGGTACAGGCTGCAGAAAGAGCTGCTTCCAGCATGAAAGACTTGGCTCAGAAGAGTTTCCGCCTTTTGATGGATATCAATTTGAAAGCACCAGTTATTATCATTCCTCAGTCTTCAGTATCACCTAATGCTGTGATAGCCGATCTGGGTTTAATCAGAGTGGAAAATAAATTTAGCTTAGTTCCTATGGAACATTCTTCTCTTCCCCCAGTCATTGACAAAATGAACATCCAACTCACTCAGTTGAAACTCTCCAGGTATAAATATAGAATCAAATTGTATGTTACTTAGTATAAATAGAATTTTCATAGACTCCTTCCAGGGGTAAAATACTCTAGTGATTTGTGATTCTCCTTATTTTTTCTAATTATGAAACCTTGACTGTTGGTATTTGGTCAGTGGTTAGTAGCAAAGTATGTACGTTATAGTACAGTATCTGCATTTTGTCTTACTAAATTTATGATGTGATTTTTTTGATTTATAAACATTTCCTGTTACAAATTATAGTTTACCCAATAATTTAGATTTATTTTTGTACATAGCTATTTTCTGTAGATGGGAGAAAGCTGCTTAAAATGCAATAAAATTTAAGATTTATTTCTTATTTCTAAACCATATCACACTTGGGAATTCTCTCTGAGGTTTATAAAGGATTATTGAATATAAATTGGAAAGGGTTGGCTCTGTTAAATGACAGGAGTACTTACTTGTTTGTGCAAATGGTTGTTGGTAAACAAACTAGAAATTACTGTTACCGTATGTTTGCTTAACTTCAGGGTTTGATGAGTTTTTCCCTTTAATTTGGAGAAGTACCAATAACATAAAACTAAGGGCTAAGTAGACTATCACTTTCTTTGTCCTCCATTTTTGAGGCGGATGTAACATTTATTTTTAAGACATTGCACTGTTTGCTATTAATAAATAGTTCTTGTGAAGATAGTTAATAATGAAATTCATACTTCGTGAAATTTGTGTCTTTGAAGTCAGCATAGGCTTTGTTTTAGAGAACTCTGCATGTAAACTTGATTTATTCTGATTCGACTGATCTGTGAAAAGAAGTATGTTCTAAAAGAATTCTGGTAGCAGCCCTTATTAAGGAAAATGTTGTGTGGAAACTTAAATAATATGATAGTCTTCATTTTAAAATATAGATTTCAAAAATACAAAATAAATTCTTGTTTATCTTTCAGAACTATCTTGCAGGCTGGCTTGCCACAATATGACATTGAAATTTTAAAACCAGTCAACATGCTTTTGTCTATACAGCGAAATTTAGCAGCAACATGGTATGTGCAAATTCCAGGGATGGAGATTAAAGGAAAACTGAAACCTATGCAGGTAAGTGTGTATATATATATATGTGTGTGTGTGTGTGTGTGTGTGTGTGTGTGTATATATATATATATGAAAATTGCCCTGGCCAGTGCCCTGGCCAGTGTAGCTCTGTGGTTAGAGTGTCGGACCTTGAATCAAAGGGTCGAGGGTTTGATTCCTGGTCAAGCCCAAGTACCTGGGTTGCAGGTTTGCTCCCTGCTCCTGGTTGGTAAGCTTGCGGGAGGCAATCAGTTGATGTGTTATCTATCTCACATTGATGTTTCTCTGTCTCTCTCCCTCTCCCTCCCTCCTTTCACTCTCTCTGAAAAACAATGGAAAAAATAGCCTCAGTGGAAAAAATAAATAAAAAGAAAGAAAAGATAATTGCCCTGTCTGGGTGGCTTATTTGGTTCGAGGGTCGTCCCATACACCAAAAGAAAGGTTGCGGGTTCAATCCCTGATTGATGCACATAAGGAAGGCAACCGATCAATGTTTCTCTCTTACATTGATGTTTTTCTCTTTCTCTCTCTCTCCATCTCACTTCCTCTCTCTAAAATCAATAAAAAAACATATCTCCTGGTTAGGCTTAATATATATATATATGTATATGAAAATTGCTAGATAGGCTTTTATCATTGATCATAGTGCAGTTCTAGTGCACATCAGAAGTGATGATACCATAAAAGGGAACACTTTAACTGCAAATGAAGTCATTCTAGTTTCCTACACTTTTCTGTATTTCATTTTAGTCAAATATTTGGTAAAACCAGTAAAAAGACTGAGATAAAACCTGTTGGAGTCCACTGAAAATATTATTAGTAATTTTGGAAAGTTCTAATGAAGTTTTAAGGAAGTTAAATTATAAGAGTATAAAGTGATATTTAGATACTATATTCAAAGCACATTAGTAGTATTTTATAAAATCACTCTTAATGATAAAAGTGGTCATTTAAAATAAGTGGATGTGTTTAAGAACATATTCATAAATACAGCAGTATTTCTTAAAGGGTAGTTAGAATATCATGTATAGGTTCACAGGGAAGGATGACACTGGTGGAATTTGGTCAGACAAGTATAGGCATCTTATGATTCTCGTGTGCCTGTGTGTGAAATTGTTGAAGCCCAACAGTAGGGGACAAGGTACTGGAGAGAGTAATTAAACGAATTGAGTGTGTGAAAAACAAATAAAAATTGAGTAATTTAGTGAATTTTGTATCTGTGATTATTTCAGAGTAAGTTCTAAGATAAAATAGAAAGAGTCAAAGAAGCTGAGTGCCACTAGGGAAGAAGTTAAAATTGAAATTTGTTGTAGGAATGTCCCTATGTGTAGTATGAGCAGATACATTATATGAGGAACAATGTCTGTTTAGGGTATTCATAGAGAATTCTCTATTCCAGAGTATGGGACAACTCTTAATTTCTCCCTTACTATTAAGACATTAGATCTTAGGACTAATATTTGTCCCATTTCACTTTCTTTGAAAGATTGAAGCAAAATAAAACCTAAATGTCTCTATCAGTTAGAGGATGTGGATCAAATTATGACATAGTCAGACACTATAAAGTAGATAAAGTGAAGGAGCTAGAACTGTACAAAGAAAAATGGGTATATCTTAAACATAAAAATGAAAAAAATAAGTTGCAGAATGATAGTGCATTTCTATATCATTTCAAATTTTACAACAAGCAAGCCAATGGACAGTGCTGTATATTGTTTATAGTGGGAAATGTAAGAAAGCTTGTGTGGAAAGAATAATTCTCTAATTCAGGATAGTGTTTTTCTTTGAGGAGGAAAGGAGAAGGGAATGAGGTCTCAGAGAAGTAAACATGGGGCTTCAACCATATCCATTGTGGGGAAAAAGATCTGAATCAAATACAGGAATTTGTTAAGATTTGACTCAGGTATGTACTCTGGGGAGGATTATAGTATTCTCCGTGTTTTTCCTTTATGTTTTACATATTTCAAAAGAAAGTATCACCAGTTAAACATCTAAGGATGGTTATTACTTTAACTAAAAAAAGTGCAGCCTAGTGAGTATGGTCACCATTGCCTAATTTGACAGAGATCCAGGCCTCTTTAAACAGCCCTTCCTTGGTCAGGATGTGTGTTAATTTTCTTATGTCCAGAGTACATCTAAGAAAGGGTGTCAGGCAGGTGACACCAGAAGTTGTTTTGGGTCCATCAGCTTGACAGTTCTTTAAGAACTGAGCGGCTGCCTCTCAAAATGACCTACAGACTTAGTGAATATCACTCTATGTATATGATACGGTTGCTCTTTTTTTTTTTTTCTGAACTGTTGTACATGTGTAAAGGTTTCTCACCACTTCTTAGGAGGTTGTTATAATAACCTGGACTCCTAGTCTAGAATGACACAGAAAAAATGGAAAAGAAGGAATTATGTTTACAAGTACAGAGTATAGATTGCTGTGGAAAGTGCTGGGCTTTAAATGTCAATGCGAACAATGGTTGCTCTTTTCACCCACAGGAAACCAAAGGTGTGGTGAAGTTAGCTGCTCTTCAGGCAGTTGTGATATTGTGGTTGGTATCACAAGTGGAAATGAATACACAAGGAAGTTCTAGGGTGTTACAGAGACGTCTGTTATCTGAGGACGGGGGCTTGTGACAAACACGTAATCCCTAGTTATTATCTCATGCTAAAATACCTCCCCACTTTTATTTAGACTGAGAATCAGGCAATGTCTCTGGCAGTAGTGGCCTAATTTGAGGGACAAAGGATACTGTGGTATTCAGAAGAGAAAGTGTCGTGAATGCATGCATGCTTGTCTGAATATGTGTTTAAGTACTTGAAACAGGCCCATTGAATCATTCTGTGTGTAAAGAAAACGTACAAAAGATGGAAGGATTAAAAGGTTTAGTGGATCTTAGCAGCTAATGGCAGCTTCATTTGTTCTGTTTCATTTTCTGTAGCCACCTATGAGGAAGAGGATATTATTCTTATTTTAAAAATTAAGAAACTTGAATTAAGGAAGCTGAGTTGGCCAACAACACGGCTTGAAAGTGGTAGACTTGATACTGATCTGCCGGACTTAAAAGCTCTTGCTTTCTTTTTATCCTTTCTGTCATATAAAGTTAGGAGATGAGCAAAATACTCCTTTCCTGGTTTGTGTTTTGTCTTTTAAAAGTACTTTGTAGATGTATCTTAGAAGAATGACAAATGCATTATTTTTGACAACTTAAACAAATGTTTTATATATGTCCAGATGCATATGTACTGAGAATAAGTGCTCCTACATTATAGGAGATCATTTTTTTTTTTTTACTTCTTGGTAGAGTCCAGAAACTGAACAGTACTTTCCCTGTATTGAGTTTGGAGGGGAGTAAATAATGCGGAAGAAGGAACTGATGCTGGGTGAGAAGAGAGAGAAAGACAGACTAAAGATGAGGAGCTAAGGAGAGGGGAGAGAGGTACAAGTCCAGGAATGAGACGAGACAGAATCACAGATAAGGCAGAAGAATGATGGTGTGCCAGAGGCAGGAGCTTGGATACGGGTAGAGGCAGAAGTGTGTTCATACACAGGAGGGAAGTCTTATACTATACAAGATTAAATACTTCTCTCCTGGTACCCTTTTTTAAAAAATTAAATTTATTGGGGTGACATTGGTTAATAAGATAATATAGGTTTCAGGTGTACAGTTCAGTGGTACATCATCTATATATTGCATTGTGTCCCCCACCCAGAGTCAGATCTCCCATCACCATATATTTGACCCTCCTGAGGCTTTACTACTCCCACCCCTTCCCTCTGGTAACCACCATACTGTTGTCTCTGTCTATGAGTTTTTGTTTTTCTTTTTTTTTAACTTCTTTTTCTTGTTTGTTCATTTGTTGCTTTCAGTTTTATATATCACATATGAGTGAAATTACATGTTTTTAACTTTTTCTGTCTGACTTATTTCACTTAGCATGATATTCTCAAGATCCATTCATGTTGTCGCAAATGTCAGTATTTGGTCTTTTCTCATAGCTGAGTAGTATTCCATTGTATATATGTACCACATCTTCTTTATCCGGTCATCTAGCGAAGGACACTCAGTTGTTTCCATGTGTTGGCCACCGTTAGTAATACTGCAATGAACATAGGCATGCATATATCTTTGTGAATAAATGTTTTCAAGTAGATACCCAGAAGAGGGCTTTCTGGGTCATATAGTAACTCTATTCTTAATTTTTTGAGGAGTTTCCATACTGTTTTCCATAGTAGCTGTAACGGTTTACATTCTTACCAGAATGTAAGGGTGTGAGGGTTCCTTTTCTTCCACAACCTCTTCTACACTTGTCATTACTTGTCTCATTGATAATATTCATTCTAACAGGTGTGAGGTGGTATCTCATTGTAGTTTTGATTTGCATTTCTCTAGTGGCTAGTGAAGTTGAGCATCTTTTCATATATCTGTTAGCCATTTGTATGTCTTAAGAGAAGTGTCTATTTAGGTCCTTTGCCCATTTTTTGATTGGATTGTTTATCTTCCTTTTGTTAAGTTGTATAAGTTCTCTGTAAATTTTGGAGATTAAACCCTTATCTGCAATAGCATTGGCAAATATGTTCTCCCATGCAGTGCAAATCACTGTACTATTATCTGTGTCCATGAGTCTTTCTTTTTTTCTTATCCCTTGAATACCATGCTGTTTTGATTATTATAGTTTGTAGTATAATTTGAAGTCAGAGAGTGTGATAACTCTGGCTTTGTTCTTTTCTCTCAGGATTGCTTTAGCTATTCTGGGTCTTCTGTGATTCTATATAAATCTGATATATTTTTTGTTCTATTTCTTTAAAAAACATCATTGGGATTTTGAAGGAAATTGCATTAAATCTTTATATTGCTTTTAGTAATATGGCTATGTTGATTTTTCCAGTCCATTAACATGGAATATCTTCCTATTGCATTGTGTCTTTTTCAATCTCTTTTAATAATGCTTTGTAGTTTGCAGTATAAAGGTCATTCACATCCTTTGTTAAGTATATTTCTAGGTATTTTATTTTTTTTGTTGCAATTGCAAAAGGAATTTTTTTCATTTTTTCTGAAATTTCATTACTATATTGTAATGCATTGCTTTGTTAAGTATATTTCTAGGTATTTTATTCTTTTTGTTGCAATTGCAAAAGGAATTTTTTTCATTTATTTTTTCTGAAATTTCATTACTATATTGTAATGCATTGGGTTATTGTACATTGACTTTGTATCCTGTAATGTTACTGTACTTTTTAATTGTTTTTAATAGTTTTTTGGTTGAGTCTTTAGGGTTTTCTATATAAAGAATCATGTCATCTGCACAAAGTGACAATTTTACTTCTTCATTTCCAATTTGGATTTCTTTTATTTTTTTCTCTTACCTGTTTGCTCTTGCTAGGTCTTCCAGTACTATGATGAATAACAGTGGTGAGAGTGGGCATCCTTGTCTTTTTCCTGATCTTAGAGGAAAAGCTTTCAGTTTTTCACCACTGAGTATCATATTAGCTGAGGGTTTGTCATATATGGCCTGTATTATGTTGAGGTACTTTAAATGTAAATTGACTAAAATGGCACAGAATAGCAGATTGGATCAAAAAACAAAACCTAACCACCATGTGCTGTCTTCAGGAGACACCTCTAAGCTGATAAGGCAAATATCGACTCAAAGTGAAAGGGTGGAAAACCATTCTCCAAGTAAATGGCATCCATAGAAAAGCAGGTATAGCCATACTTATATGTAACAAAATAGATTTCAGGATAAAAAAGGTAAGAAGAACCCTGGCTGGTGTGGCTCAGATGGGCATCATCCTGTTCACCAAAGTGTTGCCGAGTTGATTCCCAGTCAGGACATGTGCCAGGGTTGTGGGCTCGGTCCCATGTGGGGGGCGTGCGGGAAGCAGCCAATAGATGTTTCCATTGATGTTTCTCTCTTTTTCCCGCTCCCTTTCTCTCTCTAAAAATCAATAAAAACTAAAAAACCTTAAAAAAAGGGTAACAAGAGACAAAGATGGTCATTTTATAATGATAAAGGGCACTACATCAAAAAGACATCACACTCTAATATATGTGCTCCAGTCAGGGAGCACCAAAATGTATAAAGCAACTGCTAACAGAACTAAAGGGAGAAAGTGACAAAAACACAATCACAGTAGGGGACTTAAATACCCCATTGACAACTATAGATAGGTCATTCAAACAGAAAATGAATAAAGAAATATCAGCCTTAAATGACACATTAGACCAAATGGACATAATTGACATTTACAGAGCCTTTCATTCCAGAACACCAGATTATACATTCTTCTCTAGTGCACATGGAATATTCTCAAGGATAGACCATATGATGGGACACAAAACTAGCCTCAACAAATTTAAGATAATTAAAATTATACCAAGCATATTCTCTGACTGCAGTGCTTTGAAATTTGAAATTAACTGCAAAAAGGAAGCAAAAAAATCCCACAAATACTATGTGGAGAATAAGCTAACTTTGTTTTTTAAAGTTAGATGAACAGTCAGTTAATTTGAGGAACCATAAATTAAGACATAGATATGATATTCTGCATTTTTTATTACTTTATATTTATAACTTATTTTTGGTTTCTAGGTTGCTCTCAGTGAAGATGATTTAACAGTTTTAATGAAAATTTTGCTGGAAAATCTTGGAGAAGCTTCTTCACAGCCAAGCCCTACACAGTCTACCCAGGAGGCTGTAAGAGTAAGAAAAGATGTTTTGAGTGGACCTGACCACCTCAAAGGTAAAATTGAAGATTTTTAATTTGATTATGGAGAAAAATGAGCATTAATGCCATATTTATATTTAGTGGTTTCTCTTAGTTGTCCAGCATAATATGGTATGAACTGATTCAGTCTTGTATTATTTACTGTGGAAAAGCTCCCAGGGAAGGAGGTATGTATGCTCAGTGTCCGCTGTAAGGGAAGGGCCACTTGTGCTGAATATATATGGAACAAATCATTGGCATTTTTATTCTTACAATATGATTTAAATAATTGTAGAAAGTATGATATAAATTTAGGGTAATAAATTATCCTAGCTTTTAAAATATAACTAAAATCATACACCTACCTAAAAGTTTTTTAATTTTCGTATTTATGTTTGAACCATCAGAACAAGATTTGGCAGACACACAGCTTTCTGTGGATCAGAGTGTCACTCTGCAATTTGACTTTCACTTTGAATCTCTTTCCATTGTTCTTTATAACAATGATATCAACCAGGTAGGCACTAACTTTCTGTATTTAGAAATAAATCCTTAGCTCTTTATTGAATTTGGAATATTGGCATTTTTTGATGTTTATTCATAAAAATTAATATGTCTATGAAATTCTGTTTGGACTACAGAACATACATTGGTCTTGCTCTCTGACTTCACTTTGTTGGTGTTGTTAATACTACTAGGCAAAGGCAATTTTTTAATTTTGTTCTAAGTAACATTAGCACTAAAACACTAAAATCCATCACTAATAGAAGAATCTTATATATGAGGAACTAATTATATCCACAATTTTATTATATAGCTTGATACATAAGTATAACTATTTAAGGAGAATAACTTAGTAGTGGCTTTGGAACCTTAGAGGAATATTTTTTAAATTTATCATTATGATATAGTATAAGCATTAGCTATGTTTTTATTGAATAAATTTTATATGTAGTAGTTATGTGTTCAGGATACTCATTAATGAATTGAAGAACCAAGGTCCAGTCTCATAATTATTTGAATTAAGTAATGTATCAGTGGTATTTTAGAAAGCTATTTTTTTATTATATAGTGTCTTTTAAAAAAAAATTAACCTTTATTGTTGAAAGTATTACAAATGTCCCCTTTGTTTTTTTTCTCATTGACCTCCTCCACCCTGTATCAACTCCTTCCAGGCCTTAGATAGTATCTTTTAATAAATATTTTTGGTTATATAAATCATGTCATATAATAATCATAATACATATGCCATTTGATAATACCAATAAGTTATATTGATTAATACCCATAATATATTCTAATTATGGGCTTTATATCTGTTGTTAATGTCCACTTATATGTTATCTTATATTTCATATTATTTTCTAAAAATTATGCAATATTCATATATTATTACTGTTAAACTTTGACTACTATCTGTCATTTGTACAACAAACTGCCTTAATTTCTAATGTTTAATGTTAATTAGAAGATCAGAAAATTACCTTCTGGAAAATTAATAGTTAAATATGTTCTTCATTTCACTTAAGGTACCATCATTCCACTGGTTGCCCAGTTTTAAAATCTGTATCTTCGTTTATTTCCTTCTTTGTTGATTTTTATTCATTTAGACACTGATTACTATCAGTTTTTTCTTTGACTGAACCTTTGTCCTTTCCTGGCACTTCTCAGTGCTGCTTTATTTGAGAAATCTTAGCTCACAATTATAGTACCACAAAGACTTCCTTGTTTGTTATTCTTTTTACCCATCCTAGATATTGGCACACGTTCAGCTTCCTAAATGATTTTCATGCCATTTACAACTTCCCAGTGTTATGTGAATTTTGTCTGACTAAAAAAGATTCAGTGGTTCCAAGTTGTCTACAGCAATATCTGTACCACAAACATAAGTATATTGTGATCAGTAGATGTGTCACAGGTCGTTTCTGTTAATAGCTACAAATCAGTAGTTTGTACCCTGGCCTGGTGGCTCAGTTGGTTTTGGAGTGTCGTCCCTTACACCAAAGGGTTGTGGGTTTGATTTTCAGTCAGGGCACATGCCTAGGTCGTGGCGTGTGTGGGAGGCAGTTGATCCATGTTTCTTCTCTCTCTCTCTCTCTCTCTCTCTCTCTCTTTCTTCCTTCTTCTCTCTCTAAAAATCAATAAAAATATATCCTTGGGCTAGGGTTAAAAACAAACAAACATGCACAAATCAGAAGTTTGCAAATTATTTACATTTTTTAAAATATATATTTTTTATTGATTTCAGAGAGGAAGGGAGAGGGAGAAAGAGATAGAAACATCAGTGATGAGAGAGAATCATTGATTGGCTGTCTCCCACACACCCCCAACTGGGGATCGAGCCCGCAACCCAGACATGTGCACTTGACCGGAATCGAACCTGGGACCCTTCAGTCCACAGTCTGACGCTCTATCCACTGAGCCAAACCAGCCAGGGATATTTACATTTTTATAAATTAAAGTCATTCCAAGTTTGCTAATAATAATATCATTCTGACCCACTTGCATGCAATGTACTCTCTTAAGTGAGAGTATAACGTGTGCCCAGAATTGCACGTCACCAGTACCCCTCATATGAATGTCATGGTCTGTAGTGAGCTATCAGGACTAAAGTTCTTTAATTAATTGAAGACTTTTTTTCTTTGGTTGTTTGGTTGGATTTTGTTCTTTTAAAGTCTGGGCATACCTACAGAATTTGGAGCTATGTTTGGTGACATAAAGATTGAGGTCTTTTTTCCTATAAAACCAATTTTAAATCTTTAGGATTTGAGACCTTGATTAGGCCTCTATATTTCTCTCCAGCCCTCATTCCCTAGCATTCTTTAATTGGACTATTCAAGCCTAAACAGCCTGTACCTTGTGCCTTCAGAGCATCTTGAATTGTTTGTTCATGTTTTCTCCCTATCTAGATTGTCTTCTACACTTCTTAGCCTGTCTAATCCCACTCAGTTTCTGAGGCTCAGTTACGTTCTCACCTTCTTCATTAATTTTTCCTGGCTCACAATGACCTCTTTGACCCTCTGAGCTTTTGCTGTTTATATTCTTTACCTAATCACTTCATGTCCTTTGTGGAATATGGGAGAATATAAATATGAACAAATAAATGACTACATGTCTTTTTCTTTTTTCATTTACAACTTAACAATATCTCTTTGTGATGTTTGTTGCAATGTATTTCTGTGTTTTTTCTTTTCTTATTTTTTAAATATTTTATTGATTTTTTACAGAGAGGAAGGGAGAGGGATAGAGAGTTAGAAACATCAATGAGAGAGAAACATCGATCAGCTGCCTCCTGCACACCCCCTACTGGGAATGTGCCCGCAACCAAGGTACATGCCCTTGACCGGAATCGAACCTGGGACCCTTCAGTCCACAGGCCGGCGCTCCATCCACTGAGCCAAACTGGCTAGGGCATGTGTTTTTTCTTTTCAATTAGGGTATAAGTTCACTAGCGCACCTACCATGCCTTACCCTTTCTTGTAAACCTCATAATTCCTATCATGGTGTTTTTTACGGAAGAGCTCATTAAATATTTATTAGTAAGAATGATTGATTGACAAAAATATCTTCTGATTATTTTTATTTGCCACGAACTGATAAGTTTTTATATATTAACTATTGTTGAAGATCAGCACATATATAAGCATTTATTTGCATGTACATATACACTCACGAACGAATATTTTTCACTGTTCTGTTTTTTGTGTTTCAACACCTGTTCTTCTAAAATTTGTGATATTGATTTGCCTTTAATTTCTTAATTAAAAATATGTTTATAAGTAATTACATAATATTTAAAGATAATTGATTCTTTTGCTTGAAATATACCACAGGAATCCAAACTTTCATTTCATAATGACAGTTTCCGGCTTGGTGAACTCAGATTACATTTTATGGCCTCCTCAGGGAAGATGTTTAAGGATAGTTCCATGAATGTGGGCATTAAACTTAAGACATGTACCCTTGATGATCTCAGAGAAGGCATTGAGAGAGCAACATCAAGGTTTGTCATTTCCGAATTTGCTGTACATTATTTAAGGTTGACATTACACCTGGCATTGTTACCAGGTATTGATTGCTAGGCTTGGGATGATCGAAAGAGGTCTTTGGTCATACTGCAACTTGAAGAGTATCAAGAAGTAGTGCTGACATCAAATTCAGTTGCTTTAAAGTTTGAATTAAAGCCAAGTTTAATAATAAAATGGAATATTCTTAAAAGTAGCAACCAGAAGAATATAAGAATTTTAATAGTTAAATCCACATGGGGTGGCCCATTGGTAATGTATTTTTCTAAATTGTTCCCAGTAGGCAGAATCTTTTTTAAAAGCCTTAAAATTATATATAAACTTTCTTTGTCTTATTTATTTTGTCTATAAACTGTTCTGTGAAATTTCTCTCAAAGTTTTAATAGAAGTGGAATCCCTAGCATTTTCATATTATCAACACATTTTTGAAAGATTAACTTATATTAGCCTGTATAGAGTGAGGAATGTGTAACTTTAAATAGACTAATGATATTTTTATATCTTTCCCAAATAATGAGACACAATATTTTTGTCCTTAAATTTTTTTTTGAAAAACAAAATAAAATAAACAGCAACAACAAACTGTGCTGCTACCTAAACTCAGACTCATACTGGATACTTCTGAGCCCTTTGTTTTTCTAAGAGATGAATAAATGAGAAAATAATGCTGCCATGCATCCAGCTTTTCGTTTTCACATTTCATATTTGAGGTGGCTGTCCACAGCTGCCTAGCCAATGGTGATTAAAGGCCATCATCTTTTTGGTAGTCTGCTCTTTCCAGCATATGTCCTGTGTGGGAATTATCATTGCAATCAATTGATGAACACTGGCTGATTTGAATTATATTGAATACTTTTGGACTCAACTTGTATAGGATGATTTTTGGAGATAAGGAGGAGGTTTTATTTTGGTAAATAATCTAAAGAGGTGCCCTTTAAATTTTGTGGGACCACATTAATGTGTTTAGTTAATTGTTGAAATTTCTTCCAACAGTCATGGTTTTTCTAGTATTGCATTATAATGATAAAATATTCTGTAATTGCCCAATAATTTGAATCTTGCTGTAGAGATAAGGAGACCATGTTTTGAATGCTCATTAGCTAATTAGACTCTAGTTAATAGTGGTCTTTTTTTCTGTTCAGATGAGAAAGATATATATATATGAAAATTTTCATCTTTTTAATTATTCTAGCAGGAACAAAATTATGAATGTATATTTTTTCAGAATGATTGATAGGAAGAACGACCAAGATAACAACAGTTCTATGATTGATATAAGTTACAAACAAGGCAAAGATGGAAGAAGTCATCTTGATGCTGTTCTTGACAAGCTGTATGTATGTGCCAGTGTGGAATTTCTGATGACTGTGGCAGATTTCTTTATCAAAGCTATGCCTCAGAGTCCAGAAAATATGGCAAAAGAAGTACAGATTCCACTGCGACAGACTTCTACAGCAAAACTCAAGATAGAAAAAGGTTAGCAGAGCTTCTCTGTCATAGATGACGGCTTGTATATTTTAACAAAAATTACAAGTAGGCAAAAAGAGAAGTGGAAACTAAGAATGTAAAATTATTCTTTAAATTTAAACATATTTTATAGAAAATTTTAGTAAGCATAGATTTATATGATTAGGAGCCAGGAAACTATTGCTCCCAACTCTGCATTACATTTCTTTACTTATTCAGAAGTAGAGTGAGCAAGTTAATCTGTGTCTGTGGTTCCCCTCCTTATAGAAGGGAACTCTTTTATTCAAAGAAAACATTTGGAAGAAGTATAACATATTAAAGAGCAATTGAACATATAAAAACAGAAGGTGGGGTATTGGAAGACAGCATGATGCCCCTGGACATCACCTTAGACTCCTTCAACTCACTGGAATGCTTGCAAATGTCTAGTCTGTGTACACTGAAGTCACTTCCTGCTGTATTAATCCTATACTCCAGCATTACCAATACATCAGTCATTTCTATGTTATGTTATAATTATCTGAGGTCAGGTATTTTTCTCTCTACTGTATAACTCAGTAAGATTAGAAAATTACCATTACTGGCAAAGTCAGAATTTTATTTTTTCATTTACCTTTAGTAAACAGTAATCATCTATACTAATAAAAGGGTAGTATGCTAATGAGACGGGTCGACCAGCCATCTTCCGGACATCCAACTTCCTTCCGGACAAAGCCATGGTGGTGGGGGCCAAGGCAGAGGCAGTTAGGGGCGATCAGGCTGGCAGGGGAGAGCAGTTAGGGGCGATCAGGCAGGCAGGTAGAGGCAGTTAGGGGCGATCAGGCAGGCAGGAAGGCAGGTGAGCGGTTAGAAGCCAGCATACCCAGATTGCGAGAGAGATGTCCGAACGCCTGTGGGATTGGGCCTAAACCGGCGATTGGACATCCCCCAAGGGGTCCCCTATTGGAGAGGGTGCAGGCTGGGCTGAGGGAACCCCCCCCCCCCGTGCACGAATTTTGTGCACCAGGCCACTAGTATCTAATATCTTTGTGTTCATGTGTACATTTAATACATTTATTCTATAGATTGTATGACCCTATGTACTTTATGGCAAAAAATCAATTAAATAGATATAATGGTCTGTCTATTTTATCATGATCTCTTATCCTCTTTGTGATATTTCCTTCTCCTATTTCCCCTCCTTGCCCCAGAAACATAACCAAATAATACACATTTATGTGTATATACGTGTACACACCTTAAGTCTGACATAAATAACTTCAAAGCAAGGATATCCCTGCTAGGTCAAAATAGTAATGGTCTTCTGATGACAGGGATCAGCTTCCATTATCTTGCTCAATTAGCATTTGTTAATGATCATTGATTATTAGTATGTATCAGTCATTTATTAATATTGTTAACTTCACCATATGCATTAAAGCAGGATATTAGAAACAACTTAGCATAACTAGATAGCATGTATTCAAGCAATAAGATTTACTTTACTACAACTTTTCTGGTTCCTATTATTGTTTCTTCAGATGACTCTGTGAGACCAAATATGACTTTAAAGGCCAGGGTCACAGATCCAGAAGTGGTATTTGTTGCCAACCTGACAAAGGCAGATGCTCCTGCTCTGACAGCCTCATTCCAGTGTGACCTCTCTCTATCAACATCCAAACTCGAACAGATGATGGAAGCTTCTGTGAGAGATCTTAAAGTGCTTGCTTGCCCTTTTCTCAGAGAAAAGAGAGGAAAAAACATTACTACAGTAAGAATTACCATCTATATATCCTATCTAATAATAGACAAACATGGTAATTGACCATACCTTCGCTACACCTCCCATTGGCTAATCAGTGTGATATGCAAATTAACCGCCAACAAAGATGGCAGCTAATTTGCATACTGCAGGCAGGGCGGGCCAGCACAAGCCGCCATCTGGGCCCCTGTGTGCCGTGTAAGCCCCGCCGCCAGCTGGGACCCCCGTGTGTGGCCCTGGGCGGTGGGGCTTGGCGGTGCGATCGGTCCGAGGAAGCCCTATTCTTGTACCCCAACCCCCTGAACGGCCCTGCCGAGTGTGCGACCCTGGGCCGCACCCCAAACCCCTGATTGGCCCTGCCGAGTGCACGACCCTGGGCCGCACCCCAACCCCCTGATCAGCCCTGCCCTGTGCGCCACCAGGGGCGGCACCCCAATCCCAGGATCGGCCCTGCCCTGTGTGCGACCGGGGGCGGTGTCCCAACCCCCTGATCGGCCCTGCCCTGTGTGCGACTGGGGACGGTGGGGCAGGCACCTAGGGATCGGGCCTGCCATCTGCCACCCAGGGAGCGGGCCTAAGCCAGCAGGTGGTTATCTCCCGAGGGGTCCCAGACTGTGAGAGGGCACAAGTGGGGCTGAGGGACATCCCCCCCACCACCAGTGCACAAATTTTTGTGCACCAGGCCTCTAGTATATATATAAAAGCCTAATATGCAAATTGTCCCCATGGGAGTTGGACCAGGAGACCGATCGCTCGCTATGACGTGCGCTGACCACTAGAGGGTAGCACGGAATGAAGGGAGGCCCCAGCTAGCAGTTGGCAGCCAGGAAAGGGAGATCCCGGCCGGTGGCCAGCAGCCGGGGAAGGGAGGCCCCAGTTGGCAGACAGCAGCTGGGGAAGGGAGGCCCCGGCCGGCAGCTGGAAGGCCCCAATCGGTCCTGATTGCCGGCCAGGCCTAGGGACCCTGCCCGTGCATGGATTTCGTGCACCAGGCCTCTAGTATATTATAAGCTTAGATTGAAGAATGCAGAAGAATGGCAGAAATGGTTGATTCATAGAATCCTAGAATGTGAGAATTCTACAGGACTTTAGAGATTATTTACTGACAAACTTGAGGTTTTACAGACAAGGATGTTAAATTCCAAAGATGTTAAATGATTTAGCCATGGCTGCTAGTGACAGAACTGGTACTACCTCCAGTCTGGTTTTCTTTTCATTATGTCATCTTTTAAACTGTACTTGAATTTTAGTACAAATCAATGTGCCTTTTCAGCTGTTTCTTTTTTCACCAAAGTATATCCAGTGAATGAGTACTAAAATCTTGAGGTTTATAACAAAAAAAGTCAGTTAGACTTATATGACCAAAAGATGTTGTGTTTTGCTGTATTAAAAGTTATAGTCAATTATATCAGTGGTTCTCAACCTTCTGGCCCTTTAAATACAGTTCCTCATGTTGTGACCCAACCATAAAATTATTTTCGTTGCTACTTCATAACTGTAATGTTGCTACTATTATGAATCATAATGTAAATATCTGATATGCAGGATGGTCTTAGGCAACCCCTGTGAAAGGGTCGTTCGACTGCCAAAGGGGTCGCGACCCACAGGTTGAGAACCACTGAATTATATTTTCACATTGTTGTTGAAAAATATTATTTTAGTTAAATAATTCATCATACTGATTTTTAATCTTAAATTAATAATTTTATGTTATGCGACCCATTTGTAGTGTTTTAAACTAAAAATTTCTGTAGGCAAAGTGAGTTTCATAAAGAAATGCAGTGCTAGGCTTAGTCTGTACTTTATCATGAAACATTCTTTAGTGCGATCATCTTCTTTTGATATGTCACAGAAAGCTCTGTTAATCACTCCATTAAATGCTCATCCTAATGTTTTGCAAGTTTATGTAGTACCAATTCCTCCATTCAATTCAGGTGCAAAGTTATTTTATTTATTTTGTTAATGATATATGAGAATATAGGCTTCATGGTTTTAATAAATCAAGATTTGAAATTTATTCTAATAAGGACCTTATTATATTCAAGACTGACCTTTTATTAAGCAATCTGGAAACTGATTATTTACTTACCATAGTCTTTTTTAAAGGTATTAACAGAACTATTTGTTGAAAGAAACAATTTCAAGTGATTTAGCGGTCATAAAAGTTATAATGACATAATTTCATTTCCTCTAGTACCTCTTTGCAAATGTCAGATCTTATCATCATCTTTAGCTCATTTTAATAGATACCTTAAAAGTAGATTTTACAGTGGGCATCACTTAAAAGATATTTAAGAAAAGGAAACATTTCAATTTCTAATAGTAAATGTACATCATTAGTTAAGAATTTGGCATAAAGAAATTGATCAGAACTCTTTTTTAAATTTAAATTCTTTAATGTAAGTTCTTTAACAATGTTCATAGACTTGCATTACTTTAGAAGAGCTCTCACAAGAGCTTCTCAGCTAATTTGCCTTTTTGCTTTTAGTAGTAGGCTGTAATTGAAAATGTCAAGTTAAGTAAGATGCTCTTCTGTGTTACATATATAACAGTTCTATTACTAAGAAAATGTGATTTTCATTTATTTGTCTCTAGGTCTTACAGCCCTGTTCTCTATTTATGGAAAAATGTGCATGGGTTTCAGGAAAACAAAATATAAATATTGTAGTTGGAGAATTTATAATTAAGGTTAGTGCCTATTATCTTATTTGGGTGAAAATTAATTATTTTTCTAACAATATCTTTTGATGTCTTGTAACTAGACCATTATGCTAGTCACATATTTGGTCATTAATAAATATCTCTAACATTAAAATACATTTTTTGCCCTGGCTGGATTGCTCAGTTGGTTGGAGCCTCATCCCATACATATACCAAAAGGTTATAGGTTGTATTCCCCTTCAGGACACATACCGAGATTTTGGGTTCGATCCCTGGTCAGGGCTTGTACAGGAATCACCTGATCAATGTATCTTTCACTCTTTCACTTCTTCTCTCTAAACATATCCTTAGGTGAGAATTTAAAAAAATTAAAAAATAAAATATATTTTTCTTTAATGCAATTATTTGTTTCTACTTTCTTTGAAAAAGAACTTTCAGATATCTACAAATGATCAGGATAGTTTTTATCAATTATATTTTATGTGCATGTTGGGGACATTGGGTTTGGAGAGAGAGCAGAGATGGGATGGTAAGAGAAGGGAAGAAAGGATAGAAAAATGAGGTTTTTATTTATTTGTAGTGGTTATTTTTAGGCTTTTTTTATATAATTTGATTGAATGCAATAATTATGTGATTAAGTGTTTTATTTGGCTTATGAAATATTTGTAATGACAGATGTATGCTAGAAATAAATTTTTAGTTTTTTAAAAAATATCTCTTACATTTAAAGCAGTGGAAAAGCAGTCTCTTTTCTCCATTGGCATTCATATTCTTTAAGTATGACTTCATGACCAGTTATAAAAGGAAGATATAGAATAATTTCCAACATCTATTTCTCTCTCTGCCCAAAGGACACAAAATTGAGGTGGCTAATACCAATTTTGCTAGTAACTTTACTATCTAGGTAAATAAGCAATAGCAATTAAACCAAGGCTCAAACAAAAGTCATTTGAATTACCATATAAATAACAATGCAGTTTTTTTAAATATTTTAAAATAATGGATCGTTTCGATTGTATTTTGTTAACAGATTTACTTTTTTAAAGGCTTAAAGTAGTAAATGAGGAGAAAACTGAATTTGCATGCACTTTGTCTACGGCACCCAGGGGGATTGTCTTTCCATTTCTGTATATATCAATTTATTTATTTAGTCAACAAACATTTTTTGAACTCTTACTATGTGCAAAAAATGTCCTGTATTTGGGCGTTGGGGATTCTTGGTCCCTGCCTTCAAAAAAGTTAATGACATGAGCGAGAAAGCAATAAATCAGTGACTCCAGCTTTCAGTGCTAGAGGCATGCACTAGGTGCTGTGGGAGCACAGTCAGGGGTCCTCTGACTCAGACCAGGACTTCTGGAAAGCTCTCTGCACGTGGGGCTACTTCAACTGAACTTTGAAAATCTGAGGGAGGTTAGATGGAGAGAGACAGGAGGGGTTATCCATACAGAACTGACAATATTCACAAAGGCAGAGGTGTGAAAAATCCTTTAAGGACTTAGAGATGTGCCCATATGGCTGGAGAGAATGGTGTGATGGAATTGTAGGATTGAGAGCACTAATTATAGGTGACATTAATAAGGTAATGAAAAAAAAAAAGAATTCAGTTGACAGGTAAGTTGGGAGCAGTGTATACTAGATCCTTCTTTTGGCAAATGAGTCATCTCTTTAGCATATTAAACAAGTAAGGGTTGTGAGAATGAACAATAAAAGAATCCATTTAACTTGTTTAACCCAGTATGGCTCAAACTTTGGGAAATCAGCCAATTGATTAGATCAGTGCTTTTCAGCCATTTTCATCTCATGGCACACAAACTAATTACTAAACGTCTGCAGCACATCAAAAAATATATTTTTTGCCAATCGGACAAAAAATAGGTATAACTTTGATTTATTCACACTGGATGGCTATTGTTGTATTGACTGTTGTCATTTTTTATTTGGCAATCTAAGGAAAAAGAGGTCAGTGCCCCTAACTAAACAGTCAGGCATTGCATGTTTTAAAAATTCTAACTGCACACCAGTTGAAAATCGCTGGATTAGATAGCTGGTCACAATGAACTTTGTGTCCTAAACCAAAGAGAGTTTGAATTTTATTCTGAAAGTTATGGGAAACTGTTGAAGATTTTAAGCATAGGAATGACATGTCCAGATTTGAGTTTTAGAAAAATCATGCTGGTGGAAGTGTGGAGTGTGGGCTGAGAGTGTGCTGACTGGATATAGAAGACATCATTGTAGAACTAAGGCTTAGTGATAGAAATGAACAGGTGGGCAGTGGCACTATTCAAAGATAGTAAGAGGTAAAATTTGCAAATCTTGGGGTAAGTGAAAGGGTATTATAGTGATTCTCTGGCTTCCTGTTTCAATAAGACAAATGAAAACCATGTATAAATCTTTTAAAAAATAGATTTTTATTCATTTCAGAGAAGGAGAGAGGGAGATAGAAACATCAATGATGAGAGAGAATCATTGATCAGCTGCCTCAAGCCTGCAACCCTGGGCATGTGCCCTGACCGGGAATTGAACCATGACCTCCTGGTTCATAGGTTGACACTTAACCACTGAGCAACACCGGCCGGGCACCATGTATAAATCTTGATAAGGATCACACACATTGGTTTAGTTAATGCAGCTGGTTGAAAATGAAAACTTCAATTACACTTCTGCATTTTTCTCGTTATATATCACTATTTTACTCTGAATTGATCAGTGTAACTAGGTTTTGACAATTGATGTATAACATTAGTTATTTAATTCCAGAGTAATCAGAGCAGAAATTATTGTTATGAGGTTAATTAACTTGACACATGATTTTGTGTGTGCTCTCTTATTTTCTTTAGTTAAGACTTTAGTATATTTAAATTTTTAATTAGTTACTTTTAAACTTCTGTATTTTGTATTAATTCTTCTCATCTGGGAAAGTTAATTCTAAATATTTTTCTGCTTTCTTTTTTAAAGATTTCACCCATAATTCTTAATACTGTGATGACAATCATGGCCGCTTTGTCTCCAAAGACAAAAGAAGATGAATTCAAAGATACATCTAAGGAAACAGGAAATCTTTGGGGTGTCAAATCTATTAGTGATTATAACTCTTGGTTCCTTGGTGTTGACATGGCAACAGAAATAACAGAAAATTTCAAAGGTGTTGAACAGCCATTGATAGAGGAAAATTGTGCTGTTGCTGTAGAGTCAGTTCAAGTTACCTTAGAATGTGGACTTGGTCATCAAACTGTACCTTTATTATTGGCGGAGTCAAAATTTTCAGGAAATATAAAAAATTGGACTTCCTTCATGGCTGCTTCTGCTGACATGACACTAGAGGTATGACCACATCATTTAGAATCTCCACAACCAACTTTTCAAAAGTACAATTACAAAACTAAGATGTGAGCATTTTTGGTTTGTGTATGGCCACAGCAAGTATATATATGAATTCTAATGTTTAATTTGTTGATGTATGGTATTATTTACTTTGTTATGATCTTTTAAAGATTCTTTTGCTAAATAATTTGTTTAAAAATTTTTCTGCTTTCTTTTTTTAAAGATTTAGAGTAAAGGAAATAGAGTAAAGGAAAATGCACCCTCTTTGTATATATTCTTTGTGTCTTTGTTAAAATGGCTTTTGACATATAACATTAATTACTTAATATTTTTTCCTTCTGATTATAGAAATACGAAGTTAAAGTTGAAAGATTCATTATAATTCTGTGCCTTTTCAGGTTCACTATTACAATGAAACCCATGCTGTTTGGGAGCCACTGATTGAGAGAGTGGAGGGAAAGAGACAATGGAATTTAAGGCTTGATGTAAGGAAAACATAAAATATCTTTGTGTAGAATGACACTGTATATATTTCTGTACATATTTTAATGCAATAATTCTCAAGATGTGGTCTAAGATCCTTGAGCCCTATTAGGGAGTCCAAAAAGGTCAAAACTCTTCATAGCAATATTCAGATGATGTCTTTCATTCTCTCATGAGCATACTATGGAGTTTTCCAGAGACTAAGCAATATTGCAACAGAATGAAGGCAGAGGCAGGAATGAGAATCCACCTGCTTCTCTTAGGGCAGACACTAAAGCAATTTGTCAGTGTCCCTCTTTTCACTATATAGCTTTATTATTTTTAAAATTAAAAACTATTTTTAATTGTTGAGAGTATTACAGATTTCCCCTATTTCCTCCCTTTGCCCCCTCCACCCAGCTTCTGCCAGCCTCCAGGCCTTCATCTATATAGTTATATTTATTTTCTATTAAAATATTATTCATGTTAACTTGTAATTGTAATTTTTAAATGAATATTTAAAATTTTCTGTTTTAGTTTCTACACTTGATCTTAGCCAAAAGACAGAGAGCCATAGCTTTAGTTTCTAATAGAGTACACATTGATAGATATAATCTACATAACATGAAGCTCTTTGGAATCCTCAATGATTTGAGAACTGCTATGCTAGTTCACAATTCTTTTGTGTTATCTCTGAATGGTGCTTCTTGAGAACACTTCAGATGCCTAGATATCAAAGTGCATTTTTCTAGATTAACAGGAACATGAACGATATACCCTTAACAAATTTCACAACACACCTTTCTGGCAGTCTGACTGAAGTGTGAGGCACTGAAATGGACTCAAGCAATTCTTATTTCATTATTTATTTATTTACATTTTAAATTATTTATTTACTAGAGGCCTGGTGCATGAAATTTGTGCACTGGGGGGGGGGTGGGGGGAGCTCAGCCTGGCCTGCACCCTCTTGCAGTTTGGGAGAGGCTCCTGCCACCGCCACTGAGCTCGCTAGCCGTGAGCCTGGCTTCTTACTTAGCAGTACTGCCCCCTGGTGGTCAGTGTGCATCATAGCGACCGGTTGTTCTGCCATTTGGTCAATTTGCATATTAGTCTTTTATTATATAGGATTTTTATTTTTTCCTTTTTATTGAATTTATTGGGATGACACTGGTTAGCAAAATTATACAGGTTTCAGGTGCACAGTTCCTCAACACATCATTTGTACACTGTATTATGTGTTCACCATCCCAAGTCTCCGTCTATCACCATTTATTCCCCCCATGCCCTCCTCCACCTTCCCCTCACCTTCTTCCCCAGCAATTACCACACTGTAGTCTGTGTTCATGATTATGTTTTTATTTTATTCTTTATTGAGTTTATTGAAGTGACATTGTTTAACAAAACCATACAGGTTTCAAGTTTACAATGCAGTAAAACATCACCTGCACACTGCTTTGTGCGCCCATCGCCCAACATAAAGACTCTTTCTGTCCCCAATTATCTCCCCTCTACCCTATTAAGCCTCCCCTCCCCCCATTCCTCTTTCCCTCTGGCTATCACCATACTGTTGTCTGTGTCTATGTGTGATGTTTATCTATTTGTCTGTCTGTCTATCTAGTGTTGGGGTTTTTTGCTTAATCCCTTCACCTTTTTATTCACCCGTCCTCCTAACCCTCCTCCCCTCTTACAGCTGTCAGTCTGTTCTACATATCTATGCTTCTGTTTCTGTTTCTATTGTTAAATTATTTTGTTTATTATATTTCAGATATAAGTGAGCTCATATAGTGTTTGTCATTCTCTGACTGGTTTATTTCACTTAGAATAATATTCTCCAGGTCCATCCATGCTGTTGCCAAATTTTATTAGCCAAGATCTGGAAACAGCCCAAGTGCCCATCAGTAGATGAGTGAATAAAAAAGCCATGGCACATTTACATGATGGAATACTAGTTGGCTGTAAAAAAGAAGGAAATCTTACCTTTTGCAACAGATTCTTATTTTAAAGACAAGAAGCCACTTAACCTGTGTCCTCGTTTCCTCTCAGTAAAGTAGAAGTAATATTTATGACCTACTTCTCACTGGAATAGTCAGGCTAACAAAGAATGTTTTACAAAGCTTTTGAAATGTTATTAGAGTAAAAGCTATGATAAAGTCTGATGGCTGGTTGAAAGCTTATCATATTACTTATTTATAGGTGTTACTGGTGAAACAATAGAAGGAATTCCCGATATTAACTCCAGCAAGGATCAGTTTAAACTTAAGGTTCATCTTAGATTGCTCATCAACAACCAGTTAGTCAGGCAACACTGGGTTATAGCTTGCTGTGGGGAGTGCACAAGAAACAAGTATTGTAGTTGACTTTGAGTGCTTTCATGGCATAGTTCTAAACACTTCTCCATGCCCTTGACTACACACTGAGAGAAAGAATGCTGATCTGAGCTAAATAAAAGTGAAGCACTGAATATTTTTGAAAATGAGACTAGGGGATTCTTAATATAAAGTGATTAGTTCAGGAGAATTTAACTCTATTGAGAATATTTTAATTTTATTATTAATCGACTAGTAACTTAAACTTGTTAATGTTATTTATCCTCACAGGTAAAGAAGAATCCAGTCCAGGATAAAAGTTTGATGCCCGGAGATGATTTTATTTTTCTTCCTGAGCCACAAACAGCAGTTCATATTTCTTCAGGAGATACAATGAATATAACAATATCCAAAAGTTGTCTCAATGTTTTCAATAATTTAGCAAAGGTATGTTTGGTTCTTGCTTGGAATATTTCAAATGGAATTAAAAAATTGAAACATGTATGGATTATTTTTGTTTGTAATCAAAAGTTGTTTCTAAAATGTGTAGTGATAGTATAATTTTTTTAAAAAATTTTCATCTTGCAAAATTTTTGTGATGTTGTGTTCCTTTTTCAGGGTTTTTCAGAAGGCACTGCTTCTACTTTTGACTACTCTTTAAAAGACAAGCCTCCTTTTACAATAAAAAATGCTTTAGGTGTTCCCACTAAGGTGCAGCCCAATCATAATCTCAGAGTAATGGGCTCCCCTGAGAAAAGTGATATTTATGATGTTCCTGCTGGTCAGAATTTGGAATTGGAATATGCCAGCAGGGAACCTTCGTGTCAAGGGAAACTATCTATATTGAGCCGCCAAGAAAGCTCCTTCTTCACCCTGACCTTTGGTATGCTATATTTATTTGTTTTATTTATATTTTATAACTTTATTTTTTATTGTTGACACTTACAGATCTCCCCATTCCCTGGCTTCCCTTCCCCCCCACACCCCAGCTTTGCCCACCTCCACTCAACCCCCACCCCCTCTTCCTTCAGGCCATCACCACACTGCTGTCTGTGCCCATGGGCTATGCATATATGTTCTTTGGGTAATCCCTTCACCTTCTTTCATCCAGTACCCCCCCCTCCCCCCACACACACACCCTTCTAAAAGCTGTCTGTCTGTTCCATCTATCCATGCCTCTGGTCTTTATTTTGTTCATCTGTTTATTTTGTTCACTAGATTCCACATATAAGTGAGATCGTATATTAAGGGCATCTTTGGAATGTTGGTGTGGGTTTATTTTTGACAAAATATGGAAAAAATATTTTGTTGAAGATGCCTTTGGAGATGACATTTCTAAAGGCTTGAAACAAATATTTGATAGACACTTGTCTCTTTTTTCTTCCTTTAAACTTGAGAAAATTAAACTTAATTAATTTAAGAATTACCTTAGAAACTAGATTAATTCTATGTTTTTAAACAGTACAGTATGTGATATGTTTCAATAAGGATAGGGAGTTCAATGAGGAGAGAAAAGTATATTCAGAAGTCCTAAAATATTCACAGTAATTATTACCATCACAAACAAAAGTTCCTATGTGGTTGAGGGGATATGGAACAAATTGGATTTTGTTACTTTTTTATTTTTATTTTTTAAAGAAACCATTTTACTGCCCAGCAATTAAAAGTATTCAAACATGTATTTTCTATATAATTTTATTTTAAGTTGATCAGTGTTAAATAAAATATTACTTTTCATCATTTGCTTCAATTCATGTCTTCTTGATCAATTCTTTGTTTTCCTTCCAAAATGTTGCATGCCACACCTGAGGCAATAAAGAATTTCTAAACACCACAATGTTACTTTATTTTAATATATTTAAAACCCCAAAAGAAATTATTTTGGGTCCTAAATATTATAATAGCTCATTTTCTTTCTTTGTTAGTCCCTATGTCTTAGGCAAGCATATTGTGTAGTTATTTATAGGCATGAAGGAGAACACTCGTCGTTACTTTTAGACACTGATAATTATTCTAAGAGAAATATAATTAAATTAATAACTTGGATGCTTCTCACGTATGCTTTGAATTAGTACCTCATGGATATACAGAAGTTGCAAAAGTCCCTATTGCCAGACCTGGTCGGCAGTTGTACAATGTACGGAATCCCAATGCCAGTCATTCTGATTCAGTCTTGGTACAAATTGATGCAACTGAAGGGAATAAAGTGATCACCCTTCGCTCTCCTCTTCAGGTAATGTATTAAACTGAACTGTGTCCCTTTAAGTATATCGATTAATATTAAATCATTTGGATGAATATAGGAATATAGTAAAACTTCATTAAGTTATTATTGATTATCTATATATATAAAAGGCTAATATGCAAAGTTTCCCCTCAGAATTTGACCAAGAGTTTGATTGCTCGCTATGACATGTGCTGACCACCAGGGGACAGCACGGAACAAAGAAAGGCTCCTGCCAGCAGTTGGAAGGCCCTGATTGCTGGCCAGGCCTAGGGACCCTACCCGTGCATGAATTTCATGTACCGGGCCTCTAGTTTAGAAATAAATAACAGATTGAACTAGCTACTATTTCCTACCCAATTTGCTTTTGTAATATTCTTTATTTTAAATGTCTGATCAAGACAAATTTGCTAATTTAAAGCCCATTTTTCTTTCCTCCTGGGCTTAATTTTAATGAAGCTTTTTGTCTATTCTTTAAAGATTCAGAACTGAGCAATTTTATATAATTTGTTTGTCAAATAGGGTAACATTTCATTCTGTTTGTATATCAGTTGGGATTGAATTTTTCAAGTATGTGTGAAGGAATATTGGAATGCTCTACCCAGATCCCTACCCCTAAATTTTAACATCTTACTCTATATGATTGTTTTCTTCTATACCTTTAAGGCTTTATCCATTTTTTCCTTTTCTGTGCATTATTGCAGATTTTAGTATGTGGTCAGCAAAAGAATGTCTTCCTACCTATAACATCAGATAAAAAGGAAATGATTTCAAATTTTGGCTATTGTTAGCTCTCAGTTTGCTATTAGTTCAAGCCTAAATCACATTGTAGTAAAGAAAAGAGAGTTGTACTACCTTTTTCTCATAATTCCTTTTCTATCCTTTTCAATATAATCATGTAGTGCATTGAGAAAAGGTTTTAATGGAAAAAGTATTATGCCTGAAATCTTCAGATTAATATGTATTTGAATGATAACATTATACACTAACAATAGACATCAGTATTGCCAGGCCTGCGTGGTTCAGTGGTTGAGTGTCAACCTATGAGCCAGGATGTCACAGTTTCATTTGCAGTCAGGGCACATGCCTGGGTTGCAGGCTCGATTCCTGGTAGGGAGCATGCAGGAAGTGACTGATCAATGATTGCCATCACTGATGTTTCTGTCTCTTTCTCTCCCTCTCCCTTCCTCTCTGAAATCAATAAAAAAACATTATACACTAACAATAGACATCAGTATTGCCAGGCCTGCGTGGTTCAGTGGTTGAGTGTCAACCTATGAGCCAGGATGTCACAGTTTCATTTGCAGTCAGGGCACATGCCTAGGTTGTAGGCTCGATTCCTGGTAGGAAGCATGCAGGAAGTGACTGATCAATGATTGTCATCATTGATGTTTCTGTCTCTTTCTCTCCCTCTCCCTTCCTCTCTGAAATCAATAAAAAATATATTAAAAAAATAAACATCAGCATGTAGTAGAGTATGGACTACCCTAATAATTTTTAACTGCCACTTAAACATCCTTTCATATATATAGCACTTAAGTGTTCTAAAAATTTTCAATTACCAATAAAAATGTCTTCTAATATTGGCCTTGAAACTTTATATGTAAAAATAATTGTGTGCAGTTCACATTTTTCTTTTGAACTTCTGCATCTTTTAAAACAGTGTTTGTCTTTTTTATCCAACAGATTAAAAACCATTTCTCTATTGCATTCATCATCTATAAATCTGTTAAAAATGTTAAGTTATTGGAGCGCATTGGAGTAGCAAGACCTGAAGAGGAGTTCCATGTTCCTTTAGATTCATATAGGTAGGTACTTTCTTGAATATATTAAGCTTTTAAAGGTTCATAATGTATATTTTTTTAAATCTAAGAATTGGGGACTTATATTTTAGAAAAGATGACCTTATAGTTTTATTATCTAAAGATCTGTAAAAGTAGCCTTTAGACATATATGGAGTTACAGAGATATACATTTATAGTATCATTGAATTTACCAGATGAAAATTTATTGTATATTTGATGTTTTAGAATCTTCTTAGACCTATTTTTATTAGATTGTCTTTTTATTTGAAATGACTTTTAAAAAATTATCATTGTGACCCTGGCCGGTATGCTCAGTGGTTAGAGTGTCGGCCAGGAGACGGTCACGTGTTTGATTCCTGGTCAAGGGCACACACCTGGGTTGGGGGTTTGCGCCCTGCCCTCAATCTGGGTTGCATGTGGGAGGCAACCAAGTGATGAGTCTCTGTCACATTGATGTTTCTCTCTCTCTATCTCTGTCTCTGTCTATCTCTATCTATCTCTCCCCTTTTTCCCTCCCTTCCACTCTCTCTAGAAATCAATGGAAAAAAATATATCCGGTGAGGATTTAAAAAAATTATTGTTTACAGAGTGTTTTTTCCCCCAGATCATTCCTCCATCTGTTAGCATTGTGACTGGGCAAGTTTCTTTAATCTTTCTTAGCTTTGGTTTTCTCACTTGTAAAAATAGGGATAATAGTGCTTACCTTGTAGAGTTAATAAGAAGATTTAACGAGATTCTTTTCTTACATTCTCAATAAAAACTTTTTTTCTCCACCCTGCTTTTTTTTCCTGTAGATGTCAATTATTTATTCAACCAGCTGGTGTCTTAGAGAATCAGTACAGAGAATCCACCACTTACATTTCCTGGAAGGAAGAACTTCACAGGAGCAGGGAAGTGAGATGCATGCTGCAGTGTCCATCAGTAGAAGTCAACTTCTTACCTCTCATCGTCAATACAGTTGCTCTGCCTGATGAGTTAAGCTATATCTGTACACACGGGGAAGACTGGGACCCAGCTTACATTATTCATCTGTACCCTACCCTCACTTTGCGGAATCTTCTCCCATATTCCCTAAAATATTTACTTGAGGTATGTTGCTTGCATTTTGTTTGATTTTTATTATTGCACGGAGTGAATTCTAGTTTTTTTTTTTTATAATATTTTTAGTTGAGGTTAGTGTTTTACTGAGCATATTTATAATGCATTAATAATATTAATAACAGCAAAAACTAGAATAGCATTATTTGGTGCCAGCCACCATGCTGTGTGTTGTAGATGTATTAATACATTATAACCTCCTGAAGTAGGTACTCTAATTAGACCCATTTTTCAGGTGAGGAAACTGAGTCACAGTGGGGGTGAGTGACAGGCCCAAGATCCTACAGCTAATAAATTGTAGAGCTGGAATTTGAACAGAGGCAGTTTGCCTCCTTGTTCCCTATCACCTAACTCTGCTGCATCCGTCATAAATTAAGAACCATAATAATCTATCTATTTTTATTTTTAAATTACAGTTGACATACAATATTTTATGTCATAAATTAGGAACCATAATAATCTATTTTTATAATTTTTTATTTTTAAATTACAGTTGACATACAATATTTTATTAGTTCTAGGTAAACAACATAGTGATTAGACATTTATTAAGTGATCGCCCCAATAAGTCTAATTCCTATCTGACACCATCCACAATTATTATAATAATATTGACTGTAATTAAGTAAAAATCTATTATCTGAAGGACAGAAAAAAGCCAGTGAGAAAATATTTTATCTTAATTCTAAAGTCAATTTTAAGGTTAATGTGATTATTTGTTCCCAGTTTCTGTTGAACTTAAAAATAATTACTGTCCGTGTTAAATAATTGGGAACATTTTCTAGTAATGAAGTATTATAAATATTTTTAAATTTCTGTATGTCACACATTTTAACATACACAAGTCTGGAAAGTGTTTGGAACCTAAATTATTTACTTTCTTTAATCTGACAATTAGCCAAACCTGATTTGTGAAGACTAAAATTAATTAAATGAACTAAATAGTATTTATACTAGAGAAGCCTTCAGTAAAAATGCCTAACTTATTATGTTGTTATTCATTTTAAAAAATCCTATCTTACTTAGATAGCTTGTCAGAATAGTTTAATATAACTTTTCTTTGTCTATTTATGTGGAAACTATTAGGCATAGTATGTAAATGGAGGATGAAGCTGAATCTCAGTCATTTAAATGGCTTATTTAATGACATAGCTTATAATGGACAACAGCCAGGGCTCCTAAATCCAGCCTATGATTCTTGTCAAAGATCTGACTTTTTTTTTAAACTTATGGCCAAAAGACATTTTCTGCCTTTGGTTATGATTTAGTGTTTTCTTTTTAGTCCTTAATGATTAGTGGATATTCATAATATATTACTTTATTGAGAACTTGTCAATTAATCTGGTAGGATACTTAGCATTTGTATCAAATACACATATTACTTTATTGAGAACTTGTCAATAAACTTGTTAATCTGGTAGGATACTTAGCATTTGTATCAAATACAATGTTGTTATTGCAGAAGTTTAAAAAATCACTAAGCAAAATCAGTCTTTGTTTGTTTTTAGGGAACAGCAGAAACTCATGAGCTAGCAGAAGGCAGTGCTGCTGATGTTCTACATTCAAGAATAAGTGGAGAAATAATGGAATTAGTTCTGGTGAAATATCAGGGCAAAAACTGGAGTGGACATTTCCGTATACGTGATACACTTCCGGAATTCTTTCTTGTGTGTTTTTCTTCTGACTCCACAGAAGTGATGACAGTCGACCTGTCAATACATGTCAGAAGAGTTGGCATTCGGATGGTGCTATCTGTCTTTAGTCCCTATTGGCTAATCAACAAGACTTCTCGGGTTCTCCAATATCGTTCAGAAGATATTCATGTGAAACATCCAGCTGATTTTAGGGATATTATTTTATTCTCTTTCAAGAAGAAGAACATTTTTAGTAAAAATAAGGTGTGTTTTTGTTGATATAACAAGTCAAAATAAGTTCCTATTTGGAAACTAGGGAGTCGTTAGCCCCTCCTAAAATCATGCTTAACCTGTTTGCTAAGTGCTGTTGATATGATTCAGGTCTCCAGACTTTTAAGGAATACATAGTGGGATGTTAGGAACCGACAACAGCAGTCTCCAAGGCTGAGTTACCCTTTTCTCAAGTGCCCCTAGAATTACTTCTGCTCTTGAAGTAGCATTGGGTAGAAAGCTTGATATTATGTAGTTTATCAGTGATGAAATGACATTTCAAAAGATAAACAGTTGAATTTGGTGTATGATACCTGAGCCCTTCTATGTATGAAGGACCAAGCCAGGCCTTTGAGAGAGAAACTAATGCCTACGCCTGGTCCTTTTTGTATGCTCTGGCCCCTTCTTTCTTTTCAGAGTCATATGTTGGTATTGCTCTCACCGCACACTTCCCAAGTACTTACCTCTAGGTCTTTGTGTATTCATCCTCTGCCTGGAATGCCTCTTCTATGATTTTCCTGTCTGCCTCATCTTTTCTGGTTATTTGCTTTTCATCCTTTGTCATTCTGCTCAGATCTGACATACGTGAAAGATTTTCTGACCTAGAGCGTGGTTCTCAAATTTCAGTGTGCATTAGAATCAACCCTAGAGGGCTTTTGAAATACTAGTAGATTGCTGGGTGATGCCCTCACAATTTGATTCAGTATGTCTGGGTGGGGCCTGATAATTGCATTTCCAATAAATTCCCAGGTGATGCTGATGGTGTTGGTCCAGGCACCACACTTTGAGAACCACTGTCTTAGCGTGCTGGTTAATTCTAATACATGGTATTATAATAACTGTTTATCTGTATGACCTTTGCTTGTCTCAGGTTTTGTAGTTGGGTGTGTGGAGCTTAATACAGGAACACAGGTCTCTTCTGTAAAACTCTCTAAATCCCATAGCCAGAATCAACTTTTTACCCTTTCACCTTGGTAGCATTTTGTACCTTTTGTATGGCTCTTAGCACATTGAGTTTTGCATCATAATTAAAATGTATTTCCTATCTCTCTGTTTAGTTGGAAGCTCATGAAGAAAGGAACAGTGTCCTATTGTCCATTTTGCTTATCACAATGCCTTTTATTTAATGTTGCTGGATAATGTTAAAAGTTCAACTCTGTGCTATAACTTTATTTCTTAGCTCTATATCCTAATTCTGACACTGGAAAATATTTTACATTTTAGTTCTTTTTAAAACAACAGAAGGTCTCATTGGTATAGATCTTTAAATTCAATATACTCATTGCATAGGTAAATGAGCAGGTCAGAACATTGCTTTTATTGTATTGACCCCCAGAGTTTTGTGGTTCTGATACCCATTTGCAGTATGGCTTTAATTACATTTTTCTGTGTCCCATGATACTAAATTTCTAGTGGTCTAGCAACTTTCCATCAAATAAAATTAATATAGTCTTTTAGTTTTTTTATATGATGGTATGTGTTCTCTGGTCTAGGTACAATTAAAAATTTCAACTAGTGCCTGGTCCAATGGCTTTTCATTGGATACAGTGGGAAGTTATGGATGTGTGAAGTGTCCTGCCAACAATATGGAATACCTGGTAAGATTCTGTTTCCTTATTTACCTTTGAATTTATTCATAACATAAGGAGGTGATGTAAGTCTATAAACTTTTTAATTCAGAATATTATATCTCTATAAATTTCTATGGCCACTTAATACCATAGCAAAACCAGAATTTGTTAAAGTTGAATCTATCCAAGTAAGCAACTTGGTAAGTATTCATCATATATTGGAATCCTCCTTTCATTCTGCTCCCTGCCAAGCATTTCTTAAATCTTTAATTTGACTGAAAATTTGAACAACCTGATGCTAGTTGACCTATTTAGTTCCACTTTGAATTTTCATCTTACTTTATTAACAGCAGAGATAATAAGTGCAGCAAAACTTGAGCCTCTACACTAATTATAAAACATCTTATGTTTGGAATGTTAAAAAGTAAAGAAAACAAATAAATTAAATATTTTATTACAAGTAATCATTAGTTAAATTGCCAGTTGATATTTCTTGAGTTGATTTTTGATGTAGCCAAACTAAAACACCAAAATTGTTCTTACTAGTGAGAAGATAATCATTAATGGAATATGGCTTTAGTAGTTACTTTATAGTAGGTACTTTAAGAAATCATATTTTTAAGTGTTTTAAGAAGTCTCTGTGTGAATGGTTTGTGTGTGTGTGTGTGTGTGTGTGTGTGTGTGTGTGTGTGTATTTCATAGAAGCTGTATAAAGTATTGGGAAATGATAAGCTTGTTTGTTTCCTTTCCACAGGTTGGTGTTAGCATCAAAATGAGTAGTTTTAATCTTACACGAATAGTTACTCTGACTCCCTTTTGTACCATTGCAAATAAGTCCTCATTAGAACTAGAAGTTGGTGAAATTGCATCTGATGGCTCCATGCCAACTAATAAGTGGAACTATATTGCTTCTTCAGAGGTAAAATTTTCCTTTAATATAACTGGCTCCTAAATGTACAAATAAATATAGACATATAAATAAGAGTTGTATCTACCTCTTTGTCATACTCACTTTGCTATCATATTTGTGTGTTAAAATATGACAGCCAACTTTGAAAGACTTTTCTTATGCAATGTAAGCATAGGTTAAAAAAAGAAACTTGTTGATGATATTTACCACTAGCCCAGTCTATGTGGTTAACACTAATTCTCTAGTTCTTCCTATATGTATAGAATTTGATATAAAGATAATGTAAATAAGTTTTATCTCAGTAGTTAAGATAATGTATTCTGTATTTAAGTAGCTTATAATCTTGTTGTAGGGCTTAAGACTCATAAATTAACACATGGGGGAAAAAAGATAGTATATACCAGGATATAGGTGGTTATAAATTTCTGAATAGGTGAGCTGGAAGACTCCTTGAAAATTTCCTATAATTCAACCCCTGTACTTTACAGAGAAAGACATTTAATCTCATACTTACCTAAGGTTAATAAGGTTATTGGAAGTTGAGGTCATTGTGGTATACATCAAAGGGGAAAGTTTCATAGAAGAGGTGACATTTGAACTAAACTTTGTAGGCTGGGAGTAAGATTTGAGGAAGTGAAGAGAATAAGGGTATGAGTAGGGGCGGGACAGGTGCAAAGACAAGAATTTGAATTTACCTGAGTTTTCAACCAAACCAGCTGACCTTAAGGATAGAGCCATTCTTCTATATATCTCAAAAAAAATTCTAAAATTATTTTAAAAATACTTAGTAAAAGTTTAAGAAGAAGGATTCTAAATATAATACCAACAGATTGAGAATGCTACGAGGCATGCACTCTCCAAGGCACTTACAATGATCTCCGCAGACTTGGCAACACATGCTCATTATCTTTTTATCTTTGATGTGGGTTTGGTGACAGTAGTATTTTTATTCAGAGATAGAATTCACTCAATATTCTCTAACAGAGAGACATTTTGTATTAGGAGCTAAAATCTCAGTTTTATAGATAAGAAAACAGGCTCAAAAGGTATATGATTTGATTCAGATCAAACAGCTGGGAAGATAATGTTAGTAGTACTCCCAGCAAGACCTATAGACTCTGCTCTGCCTTTAGATATCTTTCTGGTTTATTCTGGATAAGATAATCTGAGATAATTCACAGTGCATTAAGGAATTAAAGTAAGATATGCACAAAAAGTGTTATTAAGATTATAGTTTTTAAATATTTGAGATATTTGGGGCATTCTTAATCAGTAAGCTCTTCAGTTTCTCATATTGTAATCTATACTAATAAAAGCATAATATGCTAATTAGACCAGACAGCCAAACGACCTTCCGGATGTCATTCCAGACATCCTGGACAAAGCCGTGGTGGCGGGGGTGAGACAGAGGCGGTTAGGGGCGATCAGGCTGGCAGGGGAGCAGTTAGGGGCGATCAGGTCGGCAGGGGAGCAGTTAGGGGGTGATCAGGCAGGCAGGCAGAGGTGGTTAGGGGCAATCAGGCAGGCAGGCAGAGGGGTAGGGGCAATCAGGCAGGCAGGTGAGTGGTTAGGAGCCAGCGGTCCTGGATTGCAAGAGGGATGTCCGACTCCCTGCAGGATCGGGCCTAAACCGGCAGTCGGACATCCCCTGAAGGGTCCCGGTTTGGAGAGGGTGCAGGCCAGGCTGAGGTTCCCCCTGCTTCCTCCCCCACACCCCACACAAATTTTGTGCACCGGGCCTCTAGTCATTTCATAAAGATGTATAGACTAATATATCTGTAGTCTTCTGATGGAGTTTCTTTGATTTCATAAATAGTCGTATTATCAATCATTTTAATATGAGATGTAGAGGGAATATTTTAAGGAACTTAGTAATAATTGAAACAGGATCCTATTTAGAAGTGAAAACTTAATTAACCACTGTCATATTTATACCATGGAATTGTTTTAAGACTGATATTAACTTTTCTATTTTTAGTGTCTTCCATTTTGGCCTGAAAATTTGTCAGGCAAACTTTGTGTGAGAGTAGTAGGCTGTGAAGGATCCTCCAAACCATTCTTTTATAACCGACAGGATAATGGCACTCTATTGAGCTTAGAAGATCTGGTAGGTTTTCATGTTTTAAAGTAAAATATCTCCGATTTATAAAATTTGCTTTAAAATATTTTATTAAAACATGTTTTAAAATCTGCTTGTAATTATATGAAGGTACTACTGTATCAATATGTCATGCCACACATATATTTGTAAGAGATCAGAGCCAGTGTGCTTTTCATAAGAATTTAAGAAAAACTTTTTGTGTCTACATAGCTGATTGAAATTCTAAATGTAAGTGCATATTAAAGCATTACCTCAAACATACTTTTTCTCCCCTATAATAGAATGGGGGTATCTTGGTGGATGTAAACACTGCTGAACATTCAACGGTCATAACCTTCTCTGATTACCATGAAGGATCTGCACCTGCTCTGATAATAAACCATACACCCTGGGACACCCTCACATATAAACAGAGGTATGAACTAAAAGAGTTCATGGAAAATCGTATTTTCTTCTGACCCAAAATTCCTCTAAGAAACACTTGAGACTAAATATGTTCCACGTTCCGAATGTGTTCAGTTTAGAAAGGTAATATGGAACACATGCTGTTTAATACTAATACCATCAGCAGGTTTTGAGACAGTACTCTATAATCAAACACAATATTTCTGCAGCAAAATTTATGAATGTTTATACCAATTGGGATAAATAAAACTATTAATAGTCTCACATCATTTTTTTCAGATCAGGTTTTGCTGCCAAATGACTGTCAAAATCAAACTTATAGAAAAATCTGTGGACTTTTGGAGTTTTCTAAATTTCAGAAAAGGAATTGTGAATCTGTTTAAACATTATTCTTTTGTAATCTGATGATGCTTAGTGAACCTCTCCCTATAAATTTATATCCAGTTTTTTATTGATAGGGGTAGTAAAAGATTAAATGGGAGGACATTGAGTAGATAGTCTTGTTGACTATATAGTACACCCTGATGATACCATCTACACTAATAAAGAGAAACATGCAAATTGACCATCACTCCATCACTCTGCTACACCCACCAGCCAATCAGGAGCAAGTATGCAAATTAACACAGCTAAGATGGCCGCGGCCACGGAGCTGGAGTGAGCAGGAGGCTTGGGTTGCCCCCGGCGATGGAGGAAGCCAAGCTTTCCACCTGCCCTGGCTGGCCCTGGGCTCTGCTCAAGGCTACAAAGTTTTAATTATAGAAGATAAATAAATCCCAGATACCTGCTTCCAGCCCGCCCTGGTCTCCGCTCAAGGAGGCGCTGAAGAAAAAAAAAAAGAAAAGAAAACAAAGAGAGGCTGGGAGCTTGAGTCACAGGGGGGCGTGGCCAGCCTGAAAACGGCCATCAGCCCCTCACCCAGGCTGGCCAGGCACCCCTTCGGGACCCCACAACCCTGAAGGGGCTGTGGGCAGCCTGAAAATGGTCCTCAGCCCCTCACCCAGGCTGGCCACACCCCCATGGGGTGAGGGTCTCTGCTGGGGGGCTTGGCCAGCCTGCAAACAGCCATCAGCCCCACACCCAGGCTGGCCAGGCACCCCAGTGGGGACCCCCACGCTGAAGGGGATGTGGCCAGCCTGAAAACTGCCCTCAGCCCCTCACCCAGGCTGGTCAGGCACCCCAGTGGGGACCCCCACCCTGAAGGGGCTGTGGTCAGCCTGCAAACAGCCCTCAGCCCCTCACCCAGGCTGGCCAAACGACTGGGAATGACTGGTCACTATGACACACACTGACCACCACGGGGCAGACGCTCAATGCGGGAGATGCCCCCTGGTGATCAGTGTGCTCTCACAGGGGAGCTCTGCTCAGCCACAAGCCAGGCTGACGGCTGCCAGCACAGCAGTGGTGGCGGGAGCCTCTCCCGCCTTTTCAGCAGCATTAAGGATGTCCGACTGTAGCTTAGGCCTGCTCCCCACTGGCAAGTGGACATCCCCCGAGGGCTCCCGAGCTGCCAGAGGAATGTCTGACTGCCAGCTTAGGCCTGTTCCCCTGGGGAGCGGGCCTAAGCCAGCAGGTGGACATCCCCTGAGGGGTCCCAGACTGCGAGAGGGCACAGGCCGGGCTGAGGGACCCCCCCGAGTGCACAAATTTTTGTGCACCGGGCCTCTAGTTATATAATAATGGATGATACCATTTTATAATAATAGTTTTAAACCCTTATAGTATATAACATTATATATTTGCAAAGAATTATTATAAATCTGCAAGGCATTGCTTTATTATAAAGTAATTCTACCAATATAATTTTATAAAATATATATATGTTATAAAATATATATATATATATTATAATGCCTTACATATTTGTCTGTTCTTAACTCTCATGGCTTGAATGCACTGAGAGATTTAAAAATGCAGATTAAGATGGAAACCTAATTGTGTTACTTTTAATTTTTTTAGTTCTCGGAAAAGCTGTTTATATTATGTGGACCAATACTTTTTAAACTTTAATGATCAATTTCAAAATTTCCTGGAAATCTTGTGAAAATGCATATTCTGATTTCATAGGTTTTAGATGGGGTCCAGGATTTTGTATTTTCAGCAAGCCCAGTTAACGCTGATGCTGCTGGTCCACAGACCACACTTGGAATGGTGACAATATGGACCCAGTTATGTTTTTTCTGTGAATCATATTTCTTATGCATTTTATTTGGTTAAAAAGCTTACATTTAAGTACTGCTACTATTCACAGCTTTTTTTTTTTACAGGTGTGCTCTGACATACCAGTTTGTTTACCTTAATGAATTCTATTGGTGTGATCATCCTTGTATCAATTTAGAGAGTACACTGAAACCTTGGAAAGAGAAATATTCTGTTACCTCAAGCTTCAAAACCATTAGTTTACTGGGCTTTTTAGGCTATTTATTTTTAAGCAGATTTGTGTTTAATTATTAAAGGAAATTTTATAAGATTTCTGTGCCAGTTTCTATCTCAGGAAAACACAGTCTGGGTTTTTCAGGCCTATATTTTAATCTTCCATCGGTTGTGTTTCAGTGGGTTACAGGAAGAAGTGAAATTGCTGCCAAGACAAGCTCGACTTTTTGCCTGGGCAGACCCTACTGGTACCAGAAAACTTACATGGAGATATGCAGCAAATATTGGGCAACATGATCTATTAAAGGTATCATTTGATGTGAATGATGGCAAAGGAAGTAAACAAGCTAGCTTTACACAGTTATCTTTAGTTTTTGAACTAAAAATGAATTGGGAATAAATTACTTTTGGACTTTAGATTGCAAATAGTTCATACCAATATTTAATCTAAGATATGTCAAAATAATTCATTTACAATTTCAAAATAGGCCCGCTTCATCTTGTCTACGTAACGATCAGCAAAGCACTTTTTTATTTACCTGTTTTTAAAAGGAAGGAATTTTAAGGCTAAATGAAAAACAACTTTGTTTTGAACATACACATACCTCTGTTGGCTGAGAGATTTTTAGGCATGCTTTCCAATCAAGGCCATATTTTTTTTTAATTAAAGGAGTCATCCCACTCTGACCCCACCCCTTTCCCTCTGGCCATCATCAACACTCTTGGGTATGTCTACGTGCCATGCATATATGTTCGTTGGCTAATCCCTTCACCTTCTTTTATCCAGTCCCCTCCTCACCCGCCGCTGACAGCTGTCAGTCTGTTCCATGTATCCATGCCTCTGTTTCTAACAATTACAAAACTATTTCCATACTCTTGTTAACATCCTTTATTTATTTATTTTCCAAGAAAGCAAGAGATGAAAAGCACGTAGTAGGTACTTGTACTACCTGTTGAAATGAAATGTGGTTATATTTATGTTAAGCCCAGATGAAGAGGAATCATTATTTTAATCTCTGAAAACACTAATCAAGCATCATATTTTCAGGCTTTTCTTGGTGAACTTACTATAAATTGATCACCATATTTTGACTGTTTGACAGTGTGATGTATATAAATTTTTGCAGTGTTATAAAATTTTAAAACAAAAATAAACTAGGTTAGTTTTATCTGAGGCCTAATAAACGTCTGAACCATTCTGTTGTCCATGTTGGAGACAAGTAAGCATCTTATGGCATTGGTGTCATTGAAGGCTATTCTTGTTCCTGCTAAGTGCCTTTTGAGCACCAACTAGGTAATTCAAACTAAGGTATAAAAAAATTAAGCACTCTCAATCTTCATTATTGTTTGAAAAATCGGTGAGATGTTTTGAAATAGATTAGAAGTTTATTTTGGTGGTTAGAGTTTTCCAATTTATAGTCATGCTTTTTAAACTTTTATGAACTTTCTAGTTACTGTAGTTCAACTTTATGGAATAAAAACTATTCGTGGGTTTAATATAAAGTCTCTTTAACCCCCAGGATGAATGTGGACAGTTTCCATATGATGCAAACATTCAGATACACTGGGTGTCGTTCCTGGATGGGCGCCAGAGAGTTTTGCTTTTCACTGATGATGTTGCCTTGGTTTCCAAAGCACTGCAGGCAGAAGAAATGGAGCAGGCTGATCATGAAATAACCTTTTCTCTTCATAGTCTTGGGCTTTCCCTGGTTAACAATGAAAAGAAGCAAGAAGTTTCATATATTGGGATAACCAGGTACGGAAGAAGGAAGATAAGGCATCAGAAATCTTTAAAAGACATTGAGGTCATAATATCAAATTTGAGAGTAAATTTTTACCTGTTCTGAATTTTATATACTGTACATTCTTTCAGGAAAACTTTACAGAACATTTGTTTTCACTGCTAGATGGTTGAATACCACATAAGATAGAAAGAAGCCTAAGATAATATCTTTGCCCTTACAATACTCATCCTCAGTTGGTGGGGAAAAAAAGATTTGCTTCTTTCTTTGTTGTTTATATGTGCTTTTCTAAGTGAATTATAAAAACACAAAGAAATGCTACAAAGAAGTATGCACACATACAATGGAAATACAGAGTTAGAAGCAACTAATTCGTGTGGTAGAGGCTGAAGAAACTGGCAGGGGACAGGGGAAGCCAACCACATGGGTCAGATAAATTAGAAAAAGGTTCATAGAGGAGGCAGTATTTGACATGGGTATGTAATTGTTAGTGGATGATTATTTAGAACTTGTTAATAGTGATGGGACCAGTTTCTCTAGTTCTGCTTATACCTTTATAAGAATAATATTTGAATTTATTTATTTTGGTTTTTCTGATCACACTAACTTTGGTAAAGGACTCACTTTTTGGAGCATGATGGGTGGAATGGTGAACATGTGATCATATATAATCAGCATAGAATCTATTGATATTTATGTGTTTAGTGAAATAAAAAATTGAATAAACAAAGAAACCATGTATATAGGGCACTTTGTATAACACCTGACAGATTAAGCTTTGTTTAAATGCTATTACAATACCATTAATATAATATTAACATATTTATGTATATGTGAGTAATATATTCTCTTGGGTGTACATTTCAGTATTGTATAGTGTCTTTAAAGTTTTTAAATTTATTGATTGATTTTGTTTAGAGAACAAGGGAGAGAGAGAGGGAGGGAGAGAGAGAGAGAGAAGCATCAGTTTATTGTTTCACTTATTTATGCATTCCTTGGTTATTTCTTGTATGGGCGTGACCAGGGATCAAACCCACAACCAAGGTGTATGGGGATGATGCTCTAACCAACTGAGCTACCCAGCCAGGACTCAGTCTTGTATTGTGTTTTTATTATTATTATGTTTTACCCTAAAGTTTATTTATCAAATTTTATCAGTGGAGTCTTAGACCCGCTTTAAAATAAGGGCAGTTCATTGGCAAACCATATAAGTACAGAAACCTTTTTCAAGTGTATTGTGTTTTTAAACTAAATATGAAAATCATTTTAAAAACATATAAATCCATTTTTCTTTTCCCTCTTGTTCTTTGACATAATGTATTTATACTTTAATATTATATATGCTATTAGAATATATTGTCAGATTGGCCTTTATTTATAAGGTCATTTTAAAACTTCATCTAAAAGAACTAGAGTACCTTTTTTCTGACATATTGCACATTCAGTGAGGATGTGTACTGAGGAAAAAAAAGTAAGTCGATTACACAGTATTTTAAAATAGATTTAGTTTTTCGAGCAGTTTTAGGTTTATAAGAAAACTAGAGGCCTGGTGCACGAAATTCATGCACGGTGGCGGGGGGGCCCTCAGCCTGGCCTGCAACCTCTCCAATCCAGGACCCCTTGGGGGATGTCTGATGCCGGTTTAGGCTCGATCCCTATGGGACAGTTGGACATCCCTCTCACACTCCAGGACAGCTGGCTCATAACTGCTCACCTGACTGCCTGATCGCCCCTAACTGCCCTCCCTTGCCTGCCTGATCGCCCCTAACTGCTCCCCCCTGCTGGCCTGATCACTCCTAACCACCCCTGCCTCGGCCCCCGCCACCGTGGCTTTGTCCGGAAGGAAGGCAGGACAACCGGAAGATGTCTGGTCGATCCAGTCTAATTAGCATATTACCCTTTTATTAGTATAGATTGAGTGTAGAGTTCCCATATACCCCCAAGTTTTCCCTATTATTGATATCTAGAAATAGTGAGTACATTTGTTACTATTAATGAACTAATAATGATACATCATTATTTAAAGTCCCTTTTTTATGTTGTTTATGTTAGAGATGCTCTTTGTATTATAAATTGTATGGGTTTTGACAAATGTATAACATGTATCCACCATTACAGTATCATCTATACCAGAGGTTCTCAACCTGTGGGTTGCTACCCCTGTGAGGGTCAAATGACCCTTTCACAGGGGTCACCTAAGACCATCAGAAAACACATATATAATTACATATTGTTTTTGTGATTAATCACTATGCTTTAATTATGT